GCTGCAGAATGGACTTTCACCTGCACAAATGTTGATGGGACATCACATCAGAACCAACCTACCCATCCATGAGGACTTGCTAACACCCAGAGGTGCTCACAACGTCAAACTCGCAAAGGAAAAACAGAAAGACAAATAAACAGCGACACGACAAAAGTGCAAGACACTTACCCGAACTGAAACCTGGAGATCATGTACGACTCCAAGACATTACTACAGGAACCTGGATGCAGCAAGGGTGCGTGCAGAGTGAAGTTGCACCGCGATCCTATGAGATCCAAACAGAGCATGGATCACAACTGAGACGAAACAGAGTGGATCTAAGGCTTCAGCCATTCACTCAAGGGACTGAGGATCATCAGGAGGATACTGCTGAAGTGTCAAATGCCTTTACCAATGGTCAATTCAGTCAGAACACGCTGACTGACAATGAACGCCGTCCAACTGCTTCAGGAAGCACTTCTGCAGAACGAACAAAAAGGACTGTCAGAGCCCCTGAAAGGCTTATTGAGAATTGCTAAAAAATATATATATATGAAAAAAAGGGGGCATCTGGATTGGATGTTTTTGTTTATGTGAAAAGAAATAGAGCCACAATAGAGTATTGCTGGACAGAGACTGCATTTAGTTGAGAAAAAAAAAGGGGGGAAAGAAATGTGTGTTATTGAAAATTGCATGTTATGCAGGTTGAGTAAACAAATGTGATGTGACATATTTAGATACATAGAAAAAGTAGTTTTCTTTCAAAGGAAGGAAGATGTGTTGTTATGTGTTAATAACATGAAGACTACGTTACCCAGCAGGCTATGCGAGGGGGGGAAGTGGAAGTATGCCTTGCATGGCTACACAAGGAGATTGCTAGCTAAAGTATCAGTTTATTAAAAGTAGTTCAACCTATGCCCCGGTTTGTCATTATTTAAAGGAACAAACATAACAATAGGGGTAACACTTTTTTTGTTTGCAGGTCTTACCCTTCTCTTAGTCTTACCTTTTGTTCTACTGTTTGTTTTCTCAATTTGGCAATAACATGCAAACAAACTCTAAATCTGACCTGAAGTCACTGTCTCTCTGAGTGCTTGTATAATTTTCTCGAATGTTCATTTCCACCCTGGTGTTGTTCTTTGTTTGTTTGTTTGGGGATGCCATCTTTTTATTGTTAGCTACTCAAAGGAGAAGTTCGCTTTTTTACATCCAAATCTCAATTTTTGATGTAAATGGCATGTTATAGAAGGGTCCAGACACTTCTTTTTGCGATTTCACTTGTTTTTGAGAAACCTACCCCAACCAGCGATTAACTTCCTCATCCTCATTGTGCAGAACGGGGGCTCTGAAAAAACATGAACAAATGCTAAAAAACAACAACAAATATGTCATTTTAGAAATGGAAACGGTCTCTCAATATAGTGATGCATGTCTTTAGATTATATGAAATTGTGTGATTCCGAACATATGTTATATTCCATTTTGTGCGATTCAAGCTGTTTTCCCTGTCCAGCTGATCCATTCTCCGTGTAGCCTGCTACTAGAATGGACGGAGAGGTATCGCTCGAGTCGCAACAAAATTGAATATAATGTTGCGGATAAAGTTCGGAGTGACACAATTTCACGTGTACAACATCTAAAGACCTGCATCACTATACTGAGAGTGTTTCCATTTTTAAAATGACATATTTGGGTGTTTTTGGAGCATTTGTTCATGTTTTTTCAGAGCCCCCGTATTGCCACCCTATAGCCAGTGGGATAACCACTTTACAAATTTTTCTTTTTTTTTGGGGGGGGGGGGGGGGGGGGGGGGGGGTAGAAGGATTACTTTATCCTATCCCAGGTATTCCTTAAAGAGGTGGGGTTTCAAATGTCTCCGGAAGGTGGTGAGCGACTCCGCTGTGTGTGTGTGTGTGTGTGGGGGGGGGGGGGGGGGGGGGGGGTAGAAGGATTACTTTATCCTATCCCAGGTATTCCTTAAAGAGGTGGGGTTTCAAATGTCTCCGGAAGGTGGTGAGTGACTCCGCTGTGGGGTGGGGGGGGTAGAAGGATTACTTTATCCTATCCCAGGTATTCCTTAAAGAGGTGGGGTTTCAAATGTCTCCGGAAGGTGGTGAGCGACTCCGCTGTGTGTGTGGGGGGGGGGGGGGTAGAAGGATTGCTTTATCCTATCCCAGGTATTCCTTAAAGAGGTGGGGTTTCAAATGTCTCCGGAAGGTGGTGAGTGACTCCGCTGTCCTGGCGTCGTGAGGGAGCTTGTTCCACCATTGGGGTGCCAGAGCAGCGAACAGTTTTGACTGGGCTGAGCGGGAGCTATGCTTCCGCAGAGGAAGGGGAGCCAGCAGGCCAGAGGTGGATGAACGCAATGCCCTCGTTTGGGTGTAGGGACTGATCAGAGCCCGAAGGTACAGAGGTGCCGTTCCCCTCGCTGCTCCAAAGGCAAGCACCATGGTCTTGTAACGGATGCGAGCTTCAACTGGAAGCCAGTGGAGTGTGCGGAGGAGGGGGGTGACGTGAGAGAACTTGGGAAGGTTGAACACCAGACGGGCTGCGGCATTCTGGATGAGTTGTAGGGGTTTAATGGCACATGCAGGGAGGCCAGCCAACAGCGAGTTGCAGTAATCCATACGGGAGATGACAAGTGCCTGGATTAGGACCTGTGCCGCTTCCTGTGTAAGGCAGGGTCGTACTCTCCGAATGTTGTAGAGCATGAACCTGCAGGAGCGGGTCACCGCCTTGATGTTAGCGGAGAACGACAGGGTGTTGTCCAGGGTCACGCCAAGGCTCTTCGCACTCTGGGAGGAGGACACAACGGAGTTGTCAACCGTGATGGCGAGATCATGGAATGGGCAGTCCTTCCCCGGGAGGAAGAGCAGCTCCGTCTTGCCAGGGTTCAGCTTGAGGTGGTGATCCGTCATCCATACTGATATGTCTGCCAGACATGCAGAGATGCGATTCGCCACCTGGTTATCAGAAGGGGGAAAGGAGAAGATTAGTTGTGTATCGTCAGCGTAGCAATGATAGGAGAGGCCGTGTGAGGATATGACAGAGCCAAGTGACTTGGTGTATAGGGAGAAAAGGAGAGGGCCTAGAACTGAGCCCTGGGGGACACCAGTGGTGAGAGCACGTGGTGCGGAGACAGCTTCTCGCCACGCCACTTGGTAGGAGCGACCGGTCAGGTAGGACGCAATCCAGGAGTGAGCCGCGCCGGAGATGCCCAGCTCGGAGAGGGTGGAGAGGAGGATCTGATGGTTCACAGTATCAAAGGCAGCAGACAGGTATAGAAGGACAAGAGCAGAGGAGAGAGAGTTAGCTTTAGCAGTGCGGAGAGTCTCCGTGACACAGAGAAGAGCAGTCTGGGATGAGGCAGTGAATTGCTGGTTGGGGTAAGTTTCTCAAAAACAAGTGAAATCGCCAAAAATATGGTCTTCTAGGTTCCAAAAAGTTGGACCTGGACCCAAACAAACCCAATCATAAACAAAAAAAGGGGGACATTCAGACCTGAACCCGAATAGACCTGATGACAACCAGACCTAGACCCAACCCGTACATCTAGACCAGACCCGATTGGAACCGAGTGACCAAATAATTATGTTTATCAGCCAAGTTGGGTCCACTCGGGTCATCAGCTATAGTTACATAGACCCGAGACCCGACGACAATCAAACAGGACCTGACCCGGACCCGAGGGAAAAGTTAGAATTTTGGACACAGACCCACTCGGTTCCTGGGTCGGGTCTCGGGTATTCGGGTTCAGTCGGACCCATGAAGACCTCTAGTCTGGACCCTTCTATAAAATGCCATTTACATCAAAAAAAATTATTTGGTTGTAAAAAAGCCAAATTCTCCTTTAATGAACTGGCACATTGAGGCATGATTATTACTTTGTGCACAACAACATCTAAGACATCCAGCTTACAGGGAGTCTCCTCAGGAAACGTATTATCAGCTCCAACACACACACACAGCCTGCTAGTCAAGCCCACTTCTTCCAACAATAGCTTGTCATCACTCCACACTCTCCACTGTCCCATTTCCCAATGTGGGCCTGCAGCTTCTGTGTCTCCTCATGGTAGTTGGAGATAGAGAGGGAAACTGGAATCTGTATTTACCATACACACCTCTGGGCAAAATGGGTGCACCATGTCATGCTGTTGGATACCACTTTTCAATGGCTGTGTGGATCTCCATTTTGTTCATTACAATACATTATGTTAGTGAGTTTAGCTGCACCACAATACTAACCAATATGTAGGCCCCTGGACAATGCAAGTCAATTTCTATAGGACACTGCAGGCTATTGTGTTTTCTCTGAAGAACATTTTCCCCACCTCATCCATCCATGGACCTATCTGTTCAGAATCTTCATGAATTACTCGTATTGACTCTTGCCATTCATAAATCCTGATAGAAAATGAATGAACACACAGAACCCTACTATGTCTACCTCAATTGGCACCTTGGTACCCAGCTTGTCGCATCATCTCTTGTGCCGCTAGAGAACTGCATGGCAACGGGAGGACGCTTGGAGATAGAATGAGGGGAGGGTACTATGGTCCCACGTGTCCTTATCACCGCAGACCCAAAGCAATTCTGTTCATTTTATATCTACCATTTCCACATACCGCAGATTCGCATACACTCATGCATAGATACAGCTTACACACGCACAATCCTGTAGGATTTATGCATACGTGCACTCAAATCTCCCCATTTGACCTATTCTACATAATCTAGGCTAATATGTCAATTCCAATATTGATCGGCTCTGGCATAGGCTATTAGGCCTATTTGTTTCTTCATTTAGTGATAGGCTATTTAATTACATAGCCTGATATCGGTGAGACTGTAGGCTACGAGCTGAACGGGGAGATGAGGGGACGAGCATCAGCTGTCAACCAGATTCACTCGGTGTTTTTTCTCTCTCGCCATAATCGTTTGAGCGTCGGTTTTCTTTTTGTCTGCGCCTGTTACATTGTAACGCACTCGATATTAATTCGGGGGAATATGTGAACATCATGCTGGCGGTGTGGTGCTTTGTCTTTGCTGCAGTGGGCGAGAGGCTTGCGGTGTCAGGTAAGAGGGATGACGGGAGAGAGGGGGAAGCACCCTTTTCATTTCCAAGTTTACCCCTGCCCAATGTAGGCTATTCCCAATTTTTGCATCTGCAATCACTTCTTCCTCTGTAGACTAGTCTACAATAGTGTGTGTGGTGGTAGCGCGCAGCTGGAGATAGTTGCCTCTGTACCAAGAACGTAGTGTTGTTAAGATCCCTCTCCCTTTAGTTCTACGGATGCCGTAGATTTGCTGCATCAACACATTTTCACCGCAGCGCTATTGCCCCTACATCCAGGGCTCGCGCGTAGAACCAGCGCCTGACGCGGTGCCATATCAGCCTATTTATGTCAAATATCATTTTAAAAACAATTATCGTTTTTCTGTGTGATAATCTGTGTGGGGTTTAAAGTTGGCAGTTATCAGGTCGACTCAAACCCCTCATGTTATACCCGGTCTCCCGCGTTACAGGCGGGGGCAGGTCGACTTTGGTGCGGGATGCGAGTTTGTGGGACTGGTTCTCGCCAGAGGAGCAGGGAGACAGCAGCGACATTGCGGCCGAAGTCACCTATCCAAAGCGGCTGGTGCAGCAGATGGAGTCGGAGGAAGAAATGTCCCACGGCTATTTGGATACCCGCGTGAAGAATACCACGGGAGGCACCTCGGTAAGTATAGACCTCTGTCTATAATGGAGAAGTGGGTGTGGCAACCTGTTTTTATTGGAGTTATTTATTCGTTTCCTTTCCCTCTCTTGCATTCCCTCTCTTGTATTACATTCCCAGTTCATTATTTAAACTAATGGTTTCTCCCCACCCAAATTATTTGTGCGAACCCTTTCTTGCCTGTTTTGGCCTGTCTCTTGTTTACTAAGTTTATCATGAGATCCATCCCAAACTGCACAAGCCTATCGTCAGTTCCATATTGCCCTAACTTCCACTCTGTGACTGGCAGGTGTACTTTTCTTACTCTGAACCTCCAGGTGTCTTCAGCTAGCTTGTGTCTGCACTGAGGGATAAAGCCATTCTTAGTCAGAAACCTGGTTTGGGTGTGACTAATTGATGCAAGACCCACTGGCTCTCTCCTGCTGTATGTCTGGCGCACCTCTGCCAGTTGGTCAAGAGCAATGCAGTACTCTGTGCCACATGCTCTGCCCTCACTGAATGACAGTGAAGGGAGGTGGTTTGCTGCAACCTCTAAGCCCACTAAGTTTGCCCTTTATTAACCAGCATCAGATAATGACCACCAAGTCCTTTCTGGTCTTGCAAAACAGCAACTGCTATATATATATATATATATATATATATATATATATATATATATATATACACACTGAACAAAAATGTAAACGCAACATGTGTGTTGGTCCTATGTTTCATGAGCTGAAATAGAAGATCCCAGAAATGTTCCATATGCACAAGAAACGTGTTTCTCTCAAATTTGATGCACAAATTTGTTTACATCCCTGTTAGTGAGCATTTCTCCTTTGCCAAGATAATCCATCCACTTGACAGGTGTGGCATATCAAGAAGCTGATTAAACAGCATGATCATTACACAGGTGCACCTTGTGCTGGGGTCAATAAAAGGCCACTCTAAAATGTGCGGTTTTGTCACACAACACAATGCCACCGATGTCTCAAATTTGGAGGGAGCGTGCAATTGGCATGCTGACTGCAGGAATGTCCACCAGAGCTGTTGCCAGATAATTTAATGTTCATTTCTCTACCATAAGCCACCTCCAACGTAGTTTTTAGAGAATTCGGAAGTACGTCCAACCGGCTTCACAACCGCAGTATGGTGCCGTGTGGGCGCGTAGTTTTCTGTTGTCAATATTTCTGTGCAATTTGAATGCACAGAAATACCGTGACAAGATCCTGATGCCCATTGTCGTGACATTCATCCGCTTCAGCAGGATAATGCATGGCCCCATGTCACAAGGATCTGTACACAATTCCTGGAAGCTGAAAATGTCCCAGTTAAAACATTGCCTGCATACTCACCAGACATGTCACCCATCGAGCATGTTTGGGATGCTCTGGAGTCTGGATCAACGTGTACGACAGCGTGTTCCAGTTCCCGCCAATATCCAGCAACTTCACACAGCCGTTGAAGAGAAGTGGGACTACATTCCACAGGCTACAATCAACAGCCTGATCAACTCTATGCTAAGGAGATGTGTTACGCTGCATGTGGCAAATGGTGGTCACACCAGATACTGACTGGTTTTCTGATCCACGCCTCTACATTAATCTGTGACCAACAAATTCATATCTGTATTCCCAGTCATGTGAAAGCCATAGATTAGGGCCTAATTCATTTATTTAAACTGACTGATTTCCTTATATGAACTGTAACTCAGTAAAATCTTTGAAATTTGTTCCATGTTGCGTTTAGATTTTTGTTTAGTATATATATTTAACTGTAACCAACAGGCATTACACCCTATGTTGGGGCACAATATCTGGGACTTGAACCCAAAACCTTCTGACTTACTGTACTCCCCCACTATGCCACCCCATGCCACATATTCATAATTACAGTCCACCGGAGACAAGAGTATCTGAAAGAGATCTGAAACAGAAGCCTGTTGTGTGAATGTGATTTTTAACTGCTTGGCCTAATCTCCTCATGATAAAAGGCTCTGTGTGGTGAAACATTCAGATCTCTCATGGAGAGCTCCTCTCTCCTCCATTCCTCTATTATTCAATGGTGTGTTGAAGTATGTCCCCATCAATGATTCAACAGGCCTGTGTGAGAAGTGCTACTTGGGCCAAAAACTCCACTGGTACAAAATCACCCACTTTTTTTTTCTTCTATCTCTTACTCTCTCTCTCTCTCTCTCTCTCTCTCTCTCTCTCTCTCTCTCTCTCTCTCTCTCTCTCTCTCTCTCTCAGACCTACACTCTACCTCACCTTCCAACCCCTCTCTTTCTTTATCTTTCATACACCCTCTCTCTGTCTCTGAAGAGTAAGGTGTACGTGGGATGGAGGGTGAGGTTCTATGTAGGTCTACATCCTTCAATGGGACACCAGAGATCAATGAGTTAGCCAGCTAACTTGCCTAAATATTCTGATATATATATATATATATATATATATATATATATATATATATATATATTATTTTATATTTTAAAGGATAAGCTTGAAATGGGCATGGTGTAATTGACTCAACAACCAAAAACACATTTCTAAGTTTAGCTTTCTTAATGAATCAAAAAATCAATAGTTATTTCTGGTTGTTTATCAAAGTTAGCTGGCTAATTTATTGATCCTGCTTTGTAGTATATCCCTCTGGTGGGTTGAGTGTTGAGTTGGTTGAGAGAATCATTACACTCATCTGGAGATAAATCTCGCTCTGATTACACTGATTGGTTTAACCTACCGTGTGATGTGATTGAAATATTTAAAGAGGCTCATGGGTATTTAGATGGAGATCGTGCAAAAACCCGGTGTTGTTGTTTTTGGAGTTGTTTTTGAGAAGTGGTATAATTGGTATAGAGTGATATTTTTACTTAATTAGGAGGATTCTGTTGGTTACATTTAATTTATTTTTATCCTCAGTAGTTTTTTCTGTAGTCATAAGTTCTTAATTTTTTTTTACAGAGAATTCTAAACAAGTTTAGATGGAATATTCCTAGCTGTCGTTCTGACTCATGGATTGATCAACTATTCCATAGGTTAACTTTGATTCCAAGTTGTATAGCCTACTGTTTTTACAAGTGGCTTTCCTTATCAATGGACTGGAAGTGAAGATATATCTTTCTACAGCATGTGCACATTTCAAATAGTTATTTAAAATCACTGGTTGTTACTGAGTAATGAACCTGCTATGACAAGGTTCCCTGAGTAATGACATTGGGGTTAGAACAGTATCAAGATGCCTTGGTCTTACAGACAGGGTGTTGCTGTTTACCACCTAAATATCCTGAGGGGTGTTATAATTCAGGGCTGATAAATACTGATGGATTCAAACAAATCTATTGATCTATTGATTTACCAAAATAAACAGTCTTGATTACTTCACACGAAAATCCTTGGATTGATATCCATGACACCACATTTTAGTCCTTCCTTGAGCCAAGCAGCAGAACTACCCTCTCCTTGCTCCAGCTGAAGTTGAGTTGTGTGGAATGATTGGAGGGAATGATTTCCGAATGGGAGACTTGTCTCAGTGAAAGTCCTGTGATTCACTGCAGCCTGTATCCTGCAGACTGAATTACTGTGGCATGGGATTGAACGCTGGCACTGTTTGTGCTTTTGGCAACACTGTGTTTTGACAGCTATAAATCTCTGGCAGCCAGTAAAGCTCCTCCTTGCTTTCTTACCTCTCAGTTTTTTGGCAGCTGACAGTATGGACACATTGGCTTCACACCAGCTTAATGTAGATGGATATTTAAAGCCTGTAAACCCTCTGCCCTTGCATCTCTATCACTGAACACAAATGCACTTCCTGGATGGCGTCAGTAATGCATGTTGGAATGGAATCAGTCCAGCCAAATCACTGGACACTTTATCAATCCAACTATGTTAGCTGCTAAATTGCTTTTGATACATATGCAGTATTGTGCTAGCAGAAATGTCTTTATGTATTTTTGTTTGTTATACTTCTTAAAGGTTGATAGCTGCCATTGTGACTCACCAAACGGGTGAACTGCTATTAGAGTGGTTTACTTTTAAGTGGTTATTCCTGTAATGTCTCTCTCTCTCTCTCTCTCTCTCTCTCTCTCTCTCTCTCTCTCTCTCTCTCTCTCTCTCTCTCTCTGTCTCTGTCTCTCTCTCTGTCTCTCTCTCTGTCTCTCTCTCTCTCTCTCTCTTACTATTTAAGACAGTCCATTTGGCCCAGAGTTGTTTCCAGGTGGAAGCCTTTGGACACACCTTCACCCTGGACCTGGAGTTAAACCAGTGAGTAGATTTGATTTGTGCACAATTTTGATTTATCATCTTGATCGGCGTATTCGCCACATCCATTTCCATCAGTCCGTATTTTCTTAATCGCCACAGTCATCAACATTGGCATTGCCATAACCGCTACCATTAGCAAATACACTTTGCTCCTTCCATTTATGACACATGATCAAGTGTGTAGTGGAGCATTAGGGACACAGAGACCCTGAGAGCTCCATCAGTACAGCTAACCACCCTAGAGAGACTAGAGAGAGAGACAGGAAGGAGACAGAAAGAGGGGGGGGGGGGGGGGGGGGGCAGAGCGAGAGAGTGTCCTGGATTATCATGACTTTATTATTCATGTGCTTAATGTACTGTAACTCCCCTACAGTGCAGTAAGGTAGTCAACACAACAGACCACCGCTACTCTATTTTGGCTACTGCCTAGCTACGATAATGTCATAAATCACATCCACATACTGTACTCTACAGCCATGCATTACACTACGCCCTCATGCATGCACACTGACATGGAATTACGTTAAGAATGGACCATATTCATACAGACTGCATATCTATTCACAAACAGAACAGACTACAGAGAAAGAGGATAAACCGTAAACATAAAGGATATGCCTTGTTGTCTTAGACATAGTGTGGAGCTTGGCTTGAGGTATAGTTTATGAGAGAGGTGTCTGTCACAATAACAGAGGTGTTTCTGTGTGTTTTCTCTCTACAGCAACCTCCTGTCCTCAGACTATGTGGAGCGCCACTTTCACCAAGACGGCAAACCCTCACAGTCTATGGTAGTGTGTGTGTTTGTGTGTGTGTTTGTGTGTGTGTTTGTGTGTGTGTTAGTATGTATGTTTTAATTAGGGCCCTGTATTTTGCGCAATCATTTGATATGCCTGGATTTTAACCGTTATTTAAAGCTTTTTCAACAAACTGTCCCATTTTCTTTTTAAGTCAGATCCAGCACCATCCTCAGACAATTGCTTTCATTTTTGGTGTAATTCATTTTTGGATAAGGCTTAAAATACAGGATAAATTCTTGCTATGTCACATGATTGTGCAAAACACATGTCCCTAGTTATAATAGAAGTTCTAACCATGCCTCTGATAAAGCTCCTGTGTTTTCTGCGTACTGTAGACATACTGTAGACATATTGTAGACATTGTATGTTATTGTCCAGTAGGCTATAGAGATCTGTTTTGTGTCTTACTGAAATCAGATACGCCCATCCTTATCAGATGGAATGACATTAGTGTTGACCACAATCTCATGAAAAGTAAGTGAAAATGAATGAGTGCTACAGTATCAGGAATGCACTGTGTGATTGAGTGGCTAGTAGACTACTACAGGAATGTCAGTGCCTCCAGAAAACCAGTGGGGAAAAGTAGTTTTTTTTCTATTTGGTTCATTGTACTACACACGTTACTAACTGCCCCTCGCCCCCCAGCCTCAGCAAGAGCCTCCCTTTGATCCACACCCACTCTCATTCCCAACTCTCCCTCTGCCCACACTAGCCAATCAGGAGCCTGTTCCCATGGCAACGAGTCAGCTCTGCAGTGTCATTAAGTTCTTGGCAGAGAGGAGAATGAAATAAGACAGAGAGAGAGAGGGGAGGAGAAGGAAGAGGAAAAATGAGAGTAAAAGGCCAGTGAATACAACGGCAGGATGGGTGATGGTATCAGAGAGAGTAATTCTGTGTGTGTTTTTGCAGACAGTTGGTTCTTTCAGAGAGCAGTGGTGTGGGTGGGAGGATGTACAGTACGCCTGCAGGGATGGAGCCACATACTCGCACTGCCAGACCTGCCAGACCAGGCCAAGCACTTTACTCTATGCCAACTGTGGTTGCTGTGTCTCTCTCTATCTCTGCTTTTATTAGAGTGGTATTGTATTCCTGCTATCCCAATCTCATACTCAGTAGTGGCTCAATGACCACTTTAGATGAGTCATTACGGGAAAGTGTTTCTAATCTTTTGAAGGAGACTAATTTTGAAGGAGAGGCCTTCACCTGGACTAGAGACTTATACTCAGACTTATACTTAGGTACACCACCCCGTTCATGGAAATGGTTTGCTCCTACAGACAGTGAGTCGCGTGGCCGTGTTTGCTATATAAAGCAGGCAGCCAGGCAACGAGGCATTCAGTTACTATTCAATTGATCGTTAGAATGGGCAAAACGAGTGACCTAAGCTATTTTGAGTGGTATCTCAGAAACGTCCTGCCTCCTGGGCTTTTAAGGCACGACAGTGTCTAGGTTTTACAGAGAATGATGCGACAAACAACAAACATCTGGTCAGCGTCAGTCCTGTGGGCGAAAACAGCTAATTGATGAGAGGTCGAAGCAGAATGGCAAGAATCGTGCAAGCTAACGGACAGGTCACGAACAGGCAAATAATGGCGCAGTACAACAGTGGTGTGCAGAATGGTATCTCGGAATGCACAACTCTTCACAAGGTCCTTGTCACGGATGGGCTATTGCAGCAGACGACCACACCGGGTTCCACTCCTATCAGCTAAAAACAAGAAGAAGCGGCTCCAGTGGGCACGTGATCAAAAACAATGGACAATTGAGGAGTGGAAAAACATCGCCTGGTCCAACGAATCCCAGTTCCTGTTGTGTCTTGCTGATGGCAGAGTCAGGATTTGGCGTAAGCAGCATGAGTCCATGGCCCCATCCTGTCTGGTGTCAACTGTACAGGCTGGTGGTGGCGTAATGGTGTTGGGAATGTTTTCCTGGCACACGTTAGGTCCCTTGATACCAATTGAGCAACATTTCCATGCAAAGGGGGGCTCCGACCCAGTACTAGATGGGTGTACCTAATAAACAGACCACTGAGTGTATAACTGTCAAAGCAAGTAGCCTAATATGCTTCTCTTTGTATTTCTGTTTATTTGCCATTCAATTCAAACATTCCATAGCCTGTCCTGATTACCGATTGCACACACCCCAACTGCTAATTGTCTTGTTAATTGTTACTGTGTTCTCATTGTCTTTCTAACCATGTGTAAGAAGTGTTTGGGGAGTTCTCCAACCAAGGTGATGTTTTTACTGCCAATGGTTTTATTTGCTCTGCTGTTTTTAAAAGTGATTGTTTTAAACATTTTAAGTGTTAGAGTAGGCTCTTTCACACCAATGAAGGATGGGGCTCAGCTGGTTGCAGGCAAGATTGTGAGATGGATAGATGTTTTATTCAGAATGAGCATTAGTGTTGTAAATGGATGCCCTCTTCTTCCTCTGTGTTGAGGTCTTGTGTGTGGTTCTCCTCTTCCACACTTTAGCATCCACTGCTCTAGGAACAGGTTTATTCTTAGCCAGCCCAATGCATTCTCACTCCATGTTGTTCCTGCCATGCTGTTCCCACTGTGGAGCAACATAATGTTGGATTTATGTATAAGCTCCCTGAAAAGAAGACCCCTGCTTTGTCAGAGCGGTAGCTAAAGCAGGAATAGAGTAGAGTGGAGGACAAGTAGGTCACATATAGTACATACTGCTGGCAGTATAATGGAGGGAGGGAGAGAGAGACAGACAGAGAGACAGAGAGAATAGAAGTAGAAACTGTTTAAAGCACAACTCCTGGGGACTCCATATTGTTTTTTTAGGGGACTGTGAAATGAGCATCCCCGTCCTCCTCAGTCAGTGTGTGGAAACCTACAAACCAATGTACCACTACGCAGTCGACTTACTTGAGCATGTGACTGTATATTAACAATAGTATGGTATTTGTGTCCACAGGGAGGGGAGCACTGCTACTACCAAGGGAGGTTGAGGGGCTTACCAGAGTCCTGGGGAGCTCTCTCCACCTGTCTTGGCCTATGGTGAGCCTCTCCCCATAGTTATATACTGTCTGTCAATGGCCTTGCCTCACCACACTGACTTGGTACAATACTGGCACTATGCCTTTGATAAGTTAAATGGCATCTTTGATCTTCATGTACTAAGGAAGTCTCAAGGTTTTGCTCGCCTGAGGTAGAGTATCGCATTATAAGCTGTAGACCACACTATTTACCAAGAGAGTTTTCATCTATATTTTTTGTAGCTGTCTATCTACCACCACAAACCGATGCCGGCACTAAGATTGCACTCAATGAGCTGTATAAGGCCATAAGCAGACAGGAAAACGCTCATCCAGAGGCAGCGCTCGTAGTGGCCGTGGACTTTAATGCAGGGAAACTTAAATCCGTTCTACCTAATTTCTATCAGCATGTTCAATGTGCAACCAGAGGAAAAAAAACTCTAGACCACCTTTACTCCACACACAGAGACGCATACAAAGCTCTCCCTCGCCCTCCATTTGGCAAATCTGACCATAACTCTATCCTCCTGATTCCTGCTTATAAGCAAAAACTAAAGCAGGAAGCACCAGTGACTCGGTTAATAAAAAAGTGGTCAGATGACGCAGATGCTAAGCTACAGGTCTGTTTTGCTAGCACAGACTGGAATATGTTCCGGGATTCTTCAGATAGCATTGAGGAGTACACCACATCAGTCACTGGCTTCATCAATAAGTGCATCGATGATGTTGTCCCCACAGTGACCGTACGTACATACCCCAACCAGAAGCCATGGATTACAGGCAACATCCGCACTGAGCTAAAGGGTAGAGCTGCCGCTTTCAAGGAGCGGGACTCTAACCCGGAAGCTTATAAGAAATCCCCCTATGCCCTCCGACGAACCATCAAACAGGCAAAGAGTCAATACAGGACAAGATTGAATTGTACTACACCGGCTCTGACGCTCATCGGATGTGGCAGGGCTTGAAAACTATTACAGACTACAAAGGGAAGCAATTGCCCAGTGACACAAGCCTACCAGATGAGCTAAATCACTTCTATGCTCGCTTCGAGGCAAGCAACACTGAAGCATGCATGAGAGCATCAGCTGATCCGGATGACTATGTGATCATGCTCTCCATAGCCGATGTGAGTAAGACTTTTAAGCAGGTCACAAGGCTGCAGGGCCAGATGGATTACCAGGACGTGTACACCGAGCATGTGCTGACCAACTGGCAAGTGTCTTCACTGACATTTTCAACATGTCCCTGACTGAGTCTGTAATACCAACATGTTTCAAGCAGACCACCATAGTCCCTGTGCCCAAGGACACTAAGATAACCTGCCTAAATGAATAACGACCCGTAGCACTCACGTCTGTAGCGCTTTGAAAGGCTGGTCATGGCTCACATCAACACCATTATCCCAGAAATCCTAGACCCACTCCAATTTGCATACCGCCCCAACAGATCCACAGATGATGCAATCTCTATTGTACTCCACACTGCCCTTTCCCACCTGGACAAGAGGAACACCTACGTGAGAATGCTATTCATTGACTACAGCTCAGTGTTCAACACCATAGTGCCCTCAAAGCTCAACACTAAGCTAAGGATCCTGGGACTAAACACCTCCCTCTGCAACTGGATCCTGGACTTCCTGACGGGCCGCCCCCAGGTGGTAAGGGTAGGTAATAACACGTCTGCCATACTGATCCTCAACACGGTGGCCCCTCAGTGGTGCGTGCTCAGTCCCCCCTGTACTCCCTGTTCACCCATGACTGCATGGCCAGGCATGACTCCAACACCATCATTAAGTTTGCAGACGACACAACAGTGGTAGGCCTGATCACCGACAACGATGAGACAGCCTATAGGGAGGAGGTCAGAGACCTGGCCGTGTGGTGCCAGGATAACAACCTCTCGCTCAATGTGATCAAGACAAAGGAGATGATTTTGGACTACAGGAAAAAAAAGAGGACTGAGCACGCCCCCATTCTCATCGACGGGGCTGTAGTGGAACAGGTTGAGAGCTTCAAGTTCGAACTATCATGGTCCAAACACACCAAGACAGTCGTGAAGAGGGGCACGACAAAACCTATTCCCCCTCAGGATACTGAAAAGATTTGGCATGGGTCCTCAGATCCTCAACAAGTTCTACAGCTGCACCATCGAGAGCATCCTGACTGGTTGCATCACCGCCTGGTATGGCAACTGCTCGGCCTCCGACCGCAAGGCACTACAGAGGGTAGTGCCTACGGCCCAGTACATCACTGGGGTCAAAGCTTCCTGCCATCCAGGACCTCTATACCAGGCGGTGTTAGAGGAAGGCCCTAACAATTGTCAAAGACTCAAGCCACCCTAGTCATAGACTGTTCTCTCTGCTACCACACGGTAAGCGGTACCGGAGCGCCAAGTCTAGGTCCAAAAGGCTTCTCAACAGCTTCTACCCCCAAGCCATAAGACTCCTGAACAGCTCATCATGGCTACCCGGACTATTTGCACTGCCCCCCCCCCCCCCCCCCCCCCCCCCCACCCCACCCCACCCCCCTCTTTTACACTGCTGCTACTCTGTTTACTATTTATGCATAGTCACTTTAACTCTACCCACATGTACATATGACCTCAATTACCTCGACTAGCCGGTGCCCCCGCACATTGACTCTGTACCAGTACCCCCCTGTATATAGCCTCCCTACTGATATTTTATTTTACTGCTGCACTTTAGCTATTTGATTTTATTTTTTATTTTTCTTAATTAACACTTTTTTATTTTACATTTTTCTTAAAAAACTGCATTGTTGGTTAAAGGCTTGTAAGTAAGCATTTCACTGTAATGTCTACACCTGTTGTATTTGGCGCATGTGGCAAATAAAATGTGATTTGATTTAATATCACTGCTATATAATGGGAGTCTTACAGATATATAATGAACGTGTTCCCTCTCTCTCACTCTCTCACTCTCTCTCTCTCTCTCTCTCTCTCCTCTCTCTCTCTCTCTCAGTGGTATGTTTTCTGATGGGATGTTCACTTATGGGATTGAGCCTCTTTTCGATGGGACCAATCAGGTGAGTGTGTGTGGTGGTTGGGAGATAACGGTATAGATAGCCCTGTGTAGTAGTGTTGATGTTATTGATTCATCCATTCATAGTAACATGGATGCAGATGATGAATATGGATGAACATGGTAAAGATGGCATTGTTTTCTCCTGGTGTCTCATTGACTCCTCTCCAGACTGAGGGGGCCCACCTGGTGCGTAGGATGCCTGATGTCAGACTATCCCCAGACTGTCCAGGTACTGGCAACATCCTACATCCTCTCTCCTCTCTACAATCATTCATGTTCATACCTACCAATGAGAAGACACATTGATATTGGTAGATCCATTCTCTTTGATGTCATTTCTCAATCCTCTGTGTTGTATTGTGTCCAGACTGCACAGACAACAGTGAGGGTGATAGAGTCAGAGGTAATGGTGATGAGCAGACGAAGGATCCCCTGGTCAGTGAGGTGCTGAGGCGCTCTAAGAGACAGCTGCCACGCAGGCCCACCGTGCAGTCAGAGACCAAATACATCGAGCTGATGGTGGTCAATGACTATGAAATGGTGAGTTAGCCTTTTCTGAAAAAAATGGATGTGTGTGTGTTCGTACGTGCATCCGTGCGTGTGTGGACGCACACTGTACCTAACGTTTGCTGTCTGTCTGCAGTTTGTGCAGCTGCGACGCTCCACTACCCAGGCCAGGAACTTTGCCAAAGCAGTGGTGAATATGGCAGATGCAGTAAGAGCTCTGTTTGTCACTCCATACTTAACTTTTGTACTTTATATTGTACTGATACCAATAGTCAATTATGATGATATTGTTATGTTAAAGTCATATCAGTGATCATAGGCTAGGTTGTAGCCATATAGAACAATCTATCATATCTTACTTATTATGTCCATGATCCTAGATATGAATTTGTTTATACCTTTGAACTCAACGACCCTGCTCCTAACCATCAATATATGTTTGGCCTGCAGATTTACAGGGAACAGCTGAACACACGCATCGTGCTGGTTGCCATGGAGACCTGGTCGTCAGCCAACATGGTTCCCGTGGTGACGGATCCGTTGACAACGCTGCAGAACTTCATGAAGTACAGGAAGGACAGCATTAAGGAGCAGAGTGATGTCGTGCACCTCTTCTCGTGAGCGCCCCCTGTCTCTGTCCCCCTGAAATGGAAAGGAGGTTGATATATGAGGGCCTACTCCTGAATCTAACCTTGGGCAGTCAGTGTTTGCATCCCAAATGCCACACTATTCCCTTAGAGGGCTCTGGTCAAAAGTAGTGCACTATAAAGAGAATATGGTGCCATTTGGGACACAGTCAGTATAGTTGACTGGTTGCAGCAGGTTTATATGTACTACATGTCCAGGTTTGACCCCTGTTCTCCTCTCTGTCCTCCAGGGGGCGTACATTCCAGAGCAGTCGAAGTGGGACGGCCTACACAGGAGGTGTGTGCTCTCTCACCAGAGGAGGGGGCATCAACGAGGTAAGAGAGACAACTGTGTGTTTCCTACTCAGCATCAAAGGACTGTGACTCACAACAATGAGCTTATACTCCAGGGTCATGGTTTAGGAACTGACACAGCTACTACATTTAAGAATGACTCTTCTTTGATTTCTTTGTTTTTTCAGTGAGGAATGTGAGGAGTGTAACTTCAGTCAAAGAGAAAGCCATTGATACAGAGTGGATGTGTGTGTTTGTGTTCCAGTATGGGAATGTGGGTCCTATGGCCATCACTCTGTGCCAGAGTCTGGGTCAGAACATTGGGATGAGGTGGAACAACATACGCAGCTCTGCGGGTAAGGACAATCAGAGCAGGGGAAGGGTGATGGATGGATGGATGGATGGATGGATGGATGGATGGATGAGAGAGAGAGAGAGAGAGAGAGAGAGAGAGAGGAGAGAGAGAGGAGAGAGAGGAGAGAGAGAGAGAGAGAGAGAGAGCCTACGCCTTCACTATGGTGAATCACTAAAACAATACAGAAATACACTACGGAAAAATAAGGAACAGCATGTCAGAAATCAGCTCAATGTAATTGAAGAATCCATAGACTCTAACCACTTCTGGGAAAATTGGAAAATTGGAAAACACTAAACAAACAACAACACGAAGAGCTATCTATCCAAAACGGAGATGTATGGGTAAACCACTTCTCCAATCTTTTTGGCCCTATAACAGAGAACAAACAGCAAAAAAATATACATGATCAAATGCAAATCTTAGAATCAACTATTAAAGACTACCAGAACCCACTGGATTCTCCAATTACATTGAATGAACTACAGGATAAAATACAAACCCTCCAACCCAAAAAGTCCTGTGGTGTTGATGGTATCCTCAATGAAATGATAAAATATACAGACCACAAATATCAATTAGCTATACTTAAACTCTTTAACATCATCCTTAGCTCTGGCATCTTCCCCAACATCTGGAACCAAGGACTGATCACCCCAATCCACAAAAGTGGAGACAAATTTGACCCCAATAACTACCGTGGGATATGCGTCAACAGCAACCTTGGGAAAATCCTCTGCATTATCATTAACAGCAGACTAGTTCATTTCCTCAGTGAAAACAATGTACTGAGCAAATGTCAAATTGGCTTTTTACCAAATTACCGTACGACAGACCACGTATTCACCCTGCACACCCTAATTGACAAACAAACAAACCAAAACAAAGGCAAAGTCTTCTCATGCTTTGTTGATTTCAAAAAAGCTTTTGACTCAATTTGGCATGAGGGTCTGCTATACAAATTGATGGAAAGTGGGGTTGGGGGAAAAAACATACGACATTATAAAATCCATGTACACAAACAACAAGTGTGCGGTTAAAATTGGCAAAAAACACACACATTTCTTTCCACAGGGCCGTGGGGTGAGACAGGGATGCAGTTTAAGCCCCACCCTCTTCAACATATATATCAACGAATTGGCGAGGGCACTAGAACAGTCTGCAGCACCCGGCCTCACCCTACTAGAATCTGAAGTCAAATGTCTTCTGTTTGCTGACGATCTGGTGCTTCTGTCACCAACCAAGGAGGGCCTACAGCAGCACCTAGATCTTCTGCACAGATTCTGTCAGACCTGGGCCCTGACAGTAAATCTCAGTAAGACAAAAATAATGGTGTTCCAAAAAAGGTCCAGTTGCCAGGACCACAAATACAAATTCCATCTAGACACCGTTGCCCTAGAGCACACAAAAAACTATACATACCTCGGCCTAAACATCAGCGCCACAGGTAACTTCCACAAAGCTGTGAACGATCTGAGAGACAAGGCAAGAAGGGCCTTCTATGCCATCAAAAGGAACATAAAATTTGACATACCAATTAGGATCTGGCTAAAAATACTTGAATCAGTTATAGAACCCATTGCCCTTTATGGTTCTGAGGTCTGGGGTCCGCTCACCAACCAAGAATTCACAAAATGGGACAAACACCAAATTGAGACTCTGCATGCAGAATTCTGCAAAAACATCCTCCGTGTACAACGTAAAACACCAAATAATGCATGCAGAGCAGAATTAGGCCAATACCCGCTAATTATCAAAATCCAGAAAAGAGCCGTTAAATTCTATAACCACTTAAAAGGAAGCGATTCCCAAACCTTCCATAACAAAGCCATCACCTACAGAGAGATGAACTTGGAGAAGAGTCCCCTAAGTAAGCTTGTCCTGGGGCTCTGTTCACAAACACAAACAGACCCCACACAGCCCCAGGACAACAACAACAACAACACAACTAGACCCAACCAAATCATGAGAAAACAAAAAGAGAATTACTTGACACATTGGAAAGAACAAACAAAAAAACAGAGCAAACTAGAATGCTATTTGGCCCTAAACAGAGAGTACACAGTGGCAGAATACTTGACCACTGTGACTGACCCAAACTTAAGGAAAGCTTTGACTATGTACAGACTCAGTGAGCATAGCCTTGCTATTGAGAAAGGCCGCCGTAGGCAGACCTGGCTCTCAAGAGAAGACAGGCTATGTGCACACTGCCCACAAAATGAGGTGGAAACTGAGCTGCACTTCCTAACCTCCTGCCAAATGTATGACCATATTAGAGACACATATTTCCCTCAGATTACAGCGATCCACAAAGAATTCGAAAACAAACCCAATTTTGATAAACTCCCTTATCTACTGGGTGAAAAACCACAGTGTGCCATCACAGCTGCAAGATTTGTGACCTGTTGCCACAAGAAAAGGGCAACCAGTGAAGAACAAACACCATTGTAAATACAACCCATATTTATGTTTATTTATTTTCCCATTTGTACTTTAACTATTTGCACATTGTTACAACACTGTATATATACATAATATGACATTTGAAATGTCTTTATTCTTTTGAAACTTCTGAGTGTAATGTTTACTGTTAATATTTATTGTTTATTTCACTTTTGTTTACTATCTACTTCACTTGCTTTGGCAATGTTAACACACGTTTCCCATGCCAATAAAGCCCTTAAATTGAAATTGAAATTGAAATTGAATTGAGAGAGAGAGAGAGAGGAGCCCATGGATTCAGTAAAAGAAGGGAGGAAGGGCTAGATGGAGGGAGTGGTACAGGCAGTGATGGATTGATTTCATTTAAACCTACTCGTGAAATAATAGTAGTTTTTTCTCAAGGATTTAACTCAGTGAGTAAATGTAAATTCCTTCTTGTCAAGATGAATGTCATTAACCACCTAATTTTCTTGCATGACTTTTCACTCCCTCTTTCCCCCTCCTTTTCTTCCTTTACCTCCATCTCTCTCAGGAGACTGCAGATGTCCTGATGCTTGGCTTGGTTGTATTATGGAAGACACTGGGTAAAGATTGACTTTAGGACTACATATACACTACATCAGTCTTCAGAACACACCTCACAAGCATTTGAGGGATTTGGCTTCGGCTTATTCAATACCAGATGGTACAATGCTGATTTGACAAGCCATTGTCAAGCTATTGTCAAATCCATCTACTACAATCAGCATGTTTGTACCACAGATGATAACATTTGAGTCAGATTGTAAAATTGCTGAAAACATTTTCACATTTGATTTGGCACTACATGTTGGAAAAAAACACACTATCATTGGCTTTGACCATTTTCTCTCTCTCGCTCTCTTCTGTCTCTCTCCCTGCATCTCTGTATGTGTGCGTGTACTTGTTGTGTGTGTACAGATATTACCTGCCCAGAAAGTTCTCTCGCTGCAGTATTGATGAGTATATCCAGTTCTTGCTCCAGGGGGGCGGGAGCTGCCTCTTCAACAAGCCCAACAAGGTGAGGCTGGTGTGGGTGAGGGATGTGGGAGGGTGGCCTAGCCTGGTGGTCTAGTGGGTAGTGGAGTGTAAGCTGAAGGTCCCTGGAGTGCTGTTATATATAGCCTAATTAATTATCCCAATGTCCTCATTTCTCCATATTAGATATTTACATAAAGCTCTGTGCCCATCCATGATTATCTCTCTCTTCCCCTTCTTTATGACCTTCTCTTTTCTTCTCCTCTTTTCTTCCTCCTCTATTATTTCTCCCTCCATCTGTTCTCCTGTCCCTCCATCCCTCCATCTCTGTATCAGCTGTTGGACCCTCCTGAGTGTGGGAACGGCTTCGTGGAGACGGGGGAGGAGTGTGACTGTGGGTCTCAGCTGGTGAGGGTCTCTATAAGGAACTGGCACTGTAACCCATACATGATGAGGAACCAGAACCCTCCAGTGTGGATGGAGCTACTCTCTGCGTCTCAAATGGCACCCTATTCCCTATATAGTGCACTGCTTTTGACCACAGCCATATGGGCCCTGCTCATAAGTAGGGCACTATTTTATTTATTTATTTGAGTTAACCTTCATTTAACTATGAAGGCAATAGGGTGCCATTTGAGACAGACACTGTCATGGTGATGTTGGTATGATGAACAGTCTCAGTGACTGTGTGTGTTTGTCTGTGTTGCTGTAGGAGTGTGCCCGTAGTGGAGGGGCATGCTGTAAGAAGTGTACCCTGACCCATGATGCCATGTGCAGTAGCGGACTGTGCTGCCGTGGGTGCAGGGTGAGTCCCTCCACTACCACCACCACTTCATTTACATATTACTCATCACACTCATCATACTCCACTCTATGGAGGCTAGTGCCTCTTCAGTATTTAACTAATTCATTACCAAACATTGAATTACCCAACATTTTTATTAAGGGTTACACACAGCTTTAATGATAAAAGCGTCCGATCTTGAGAATTAGGAGTCTGCTAGTGCTACTATACTGTCTTGACAGGAAGAGGTCATGTGTGGGATGTTGTTCTTGTGTGTCAGTATGAGCTGAGAGGAGCGGTGTGCAGACAGGCTGTGAATGACTGTGACATCCCAGAGAGCTGCACAGGAGACTCCAGCCAGGTACTGTACTCTACACTACACTATTACCCTGGTGCATGTTGGGAGATGGAGTCTTTGGGAGCATGAGTTGGTCTGAAGTAAACATTTACATTTACGTCATTTAGCAGACGCTCTTATCCAGAGCGACTTACAAATTGGCGTAAACCATACTGTATGTCATTTTCTCCTGTTGCAGTGCCCTCATAATGTGCACAAGCTGGATGGATACACGTGTGACAGTAGTCAGGTAAGGCACACCTTTGTTTCAATGGGGTTTTGCTCTGCAGTCAGTGTGTTGTTGAGATATGTCTGTCCTACTGTTAACCATTGTTTTCATCTCTCTCTCTCTCCTCTCTCTCCTCTCTCTCTCTCTCTCTCTCTCTCTCCTCTCTCTCTCTCTCTCCCCTCTCAGGGTCGTTGTTATAGTGGTCGGTGCAGGACTCTCGATGGCCAGTGTAAGGGACTGTGGGGCTACAGTAAGTATTAATGATTAATTCATTTCTTGAATGTCTTTCACACCCCTGAATTACTCACTGGCCAGTAGTCATGTATTGGTACTGTTTCAATGGCTATGCCCATGGCAGTCCTTTGCCATCTTGTGGACTGATATGGAACTTCATCTGAGTTACAGATGGCAATGATATGGATCTAATGTGTGTTGTGTTGTGTGTGCTGTCTCAGATTCAGCAGACCGCTTCTGCTATGAAAAGCTGAATGCAGAGGGCACAGAGAAGGGCAACTGTGGGCGGAGTCCTGAGGGCCAGGGATGGCTGCAGTGCAACAAGCCGTAAGCCTTCTATCACTCTCATTATTACACAATAGACATGACCGGAGATGTATATGTTTTTCTCCCCCATCTTCTTTCCTCTCTCTCTCTCTCCCCTCTCTCTCTTTCTCTCTCAGGGATGTGCTGTGTGGTTTCCTGTTCTGTGCCAATATGACAGTGAAGCCAAAGTTTGGGGATCTGGAGGGGGAAGTGACCAGCCTTACAATATACCACCAGAACAAGTACCTGGACTGCCGGTGAGTTGTACCTTTCTACCCCTTTAATGTTTGTGTTTGGGAGGCTCTCATAGATTGAACAGAATAGATTAATTTATGAATTTATCCCTCGTTGCCTCTCCCCCTCCTCTCAACTCCTCCTCCTCCTCCTCCTCCTCCTCTCCCTCCTCCTCCTCCTCCTCCTCCTCCCTGCTCCTTCTCCTCCTCCTCTCCCTCCTCCTCCTCTCCCATCTGTGTGTCTGTGTGTCCAGAGGGGGCCATGTCCTGCTGGAGGATGGGTCAGACCTGGGTTACGTAGAGGATGGTACGCCGTGCGGCCCCAACATGATGTGTCTGGAGCGTCGCTGTCTCCCCGTGGCAGCCTTCAACCTCAGCACCTGCTCTGGCTCCACGCTGGGACGCACCTGCTCTGACCACGGGGTGAGGAGACACACAGGGACCACCCCACCACACATGCCTGCATTGAAATAGAGTCATGTTAGCTTGTTGGGTTTGTGTTATCATTCTCTCTCTCCTCTCTCTCTCTCTCTCTCTCTCTCTCTCCTCTCTCTCTCCGCTCTCCTCTCTCTCTCTCTCCTCTCTCTCTCTCTCTCGTCTCTCCTCTCTCTCTCTCTCTCTCTCTCTCTCTCTCTCTCTCTCTCTCTCTCTCTCTCTCAGACATGCAGTAACGAGGTGAAGTGTATCTGTGACAGGGACTACACCGCGAAGGACTGCAGTGTCTTTGACCCCATCCCTGACCCCACGCCGCCTGCCAGCACGGAGAAGAAAGGTCCAAATCTCCTCTGTGTGGCTGTCGGTTTGTCTGTCTGTCTGTCTGTGTCTGTCTGTTCTCCCCTTATCCCTCTCATTATCTGTCTACCATCACTTCATATCTTTGTGTACATATATGGAGTTTAGGGTATCTATAGTCTAGCTTTTAAGATAGCTATTGCCTTAGTTGTGTTTTGGGTGAAACGGCACTGGAGTCGAGTAAGGGAAACTGACTGACTTTGTGTCTGCATGTGTGAGTGAGGTAGTGTGAGAAGGTGTATGCTGAACGTGTACATGTGTGCATATACTGTATGCACGCGTCTGTGTCTTTGTGTTTCTATAAGTTACAGGCACCTGGCTTCTATCTTCAAGTGTCTTCCTTACTATCTTACAGTCTGCTTCTGATTCAGAGGGGTTGGGTTAAATGCGGAAGACACATTTCGGTTGAATGCATTCAGTTGTACAACTGACTAGATATCCCCCTTTCCCTTTCCATTGACACAGGGCTCATAGGGCTCTCATAGGTCCCAAAAACCAAACCCACCCTATGCAAGAGGGTGTCCAGCTGAAAGAGTAAGAGAGGGGATGAGAAAGAAGTAATAAAAACACCCTCCTTTTTTAACTGTCGCCTCCCTGATCTCCCCTCGCTCTCCCTCCTCCACCCCACGTCCTCTCTTATTCTCTCTTTCTCCATCCTACTCTCTTTCTTCCTCCCTCTCTCTCTCTCTGTCTCTCTCTCTCTCTCTCTCTCTCTCTCTCTCTCTCTCCTCTATCTCTCTCTCTCCTCTCTCTCTCTTCTCTCTCCTTCTCTCTCTCCATCTCTCTCTTTGCTCCTCTCTCTCTCTTCTTCTCTCTCTGTCTCTCTCTCTGTCTCTCTCTCTCTGTCTCTCTCTCTCTCTCTCTCTTTCCGGATGTTGATGTTGTTGATGTACAGTGTTGATGCTGTCCTCTGACGTGTGTTTTTGGTGGTGTTGTTTTGTTCCCCTCTGCACCCCTCCTTCCCCCTCCTTCCTCTGCGCAGGTCCCAGTGGCACCAATATCATAATAGGGTCCATCGCAGGTGCTATTCTTCTGGCAGCTATAGTCCTAGGGGGAACAGGATGGGGATTTAAGTAAGAGTTTTGGCATGCCTCTGTACCTGTCTGCTTCTCCCCAAGGCCCCCACTCACACCCCTCCAAAAGAACGGCTGCAACTCATCGCCCCACCAATGGTGGGGACAGATGGGTTGAGTTCACCATCCAATTGCTTTGAAACATACAGCGATATTTAGAATGAGTATCGGGCTGGTAACTCTGATACTTCACTTTATAAGACCTAGTAGAATTTAACCCTGACCTCCTCCATGCAGGGAGAGAAGAGAGAGATGCCTCCCCTTCACACCTTCAGACTGGCTTCAACCCAGCACTCCTGCCAGGGACAGGAGTGGACAGTTCCCCTATAGTCTCCTATGTCCTCTATGAAGTTCCCAAACTGTTATGGTTCTCTTTAAAGCCTCCTGTAGAGTGTTCATTCTATGATGCCTCTCCTTAGTGCAGCTCTTCATCTGGAGTATCTTTAAAGTAGTGTCCACTCAGTAATGCCCACTCAGTAGTGCCCTAACCAAAGTGCCCTTGCTGCAGTGGAGCCCTAGCTGTGCGCATGCCTGGCCTGCTAATGCCGCTTCACTCCTTAGTCTCTGATCCAAAAGGATTATACCACTTCCCTGTCATCACTTGCATCAAGAATGATCTAATTTGTGTTACTTTTCTTATTTTATTTGTCTGGTACATCAAAATTAATTTGATTGATCCATTTCTCAAAATAGTTAATATTTTGCTGGGAATAATGACTAATCCTTTTGGGGGCAGGGGTAACTGTGTGTGCATGTGTGCATGAGCTTTAGTGGTAAGCTTTACACTCATTTGAACAAACAAGAAAATTGTTTATTACAACTACGGCTGTGACGGCCATGGAATTTTGGATGACTGTTATTAGTCAGCCAAATGACCGCAGTCACCGTAATAATCGTTTGAATAGCAAACTTGTTTTATTTTTAAGACGCACATTTTCTCCTCTGCTGCTGACTACATGTGCTGTGCTGCTGCAAGGAAGTGGGAGTTGCCTAGGCAACCAAATACTTGTTTGCGACAACACTTTGCTTGTTTCAGCAAGGAGCAACAAAGTTTCATCACGTTGTAAAGAGTCCATGATACTGCGAAAACGGACTCAACCGCACGAATACCCGGCCATCCCGTCTTCAGTCGGCTGTTTGTTCCACACACACATACACCCCAAAAAAATGTATGACGGTTATTACATTTCATGACGGCCTTCATCCATAATCGTCAGTTACACGATTATACGGTAATTGTGCCAGCCCTAATTACAACATAATTAATTAGAGTATGAAAAAAAGTGTAAAAAATCTGGACTTCTTGTAGTCTTGGAGTGAGCAGTGGGAGAACACTGTCTACTACACATCACTTTGAATGGGCTTTATACAGTGCCTTGCAAAAGTATTCAGACCCCTTGAATCTCTTCACATTTGATTGTGTTACAAAGTGGGATTACAATTTATTTAATTGTCATTTTTTGGTCAACAATCTACTCAAAATTCTCTCTATTGTCAAAGTAGAACAATAAAAAAAAATAAAGATTTATAAAAATACATACCACATCTGTATGGTCCCTCAGTCAAGTATTGAATTTCAAGCACAGATTAAACTACAAAGACCAGGGAGCTTTTCGAAAGCCTCATAAAGAAGGGCAGTGATTGGTAGATGGGTAACAATAACAATCAGTCATTGAATATATCTTTAAGCATGGTCAAGTTAATAATTATGCTGTGGTTGATGTATTAAACCACCCAGACACATCAAAGATACAGTCTTCCTTCTGAACTGAGCTGCAGGACAGGATGTTACCACGAGGCCATTGGTGATTTTAAAACAGTTACAGAGTTCAATGGCAGTGATGGGAGAAAACTGAAGATGGGTCAACAAAATTGTAGTGACCACAATAATGACTTAAATTATAGAATCAAAAGAATAATACAAATATACAGAATACAAATATTCCATAACATGCATCTTGTATGCAACAAGGCACTAAAGTAATACTGCAAAGAAACACGCAAAGGAATACACTTTTTGGCCTAAATGCAAAGCCTGATGTTTGGGGAAAATCCAACACAACCCATCACTGAGTAACTGCCTCCTTATTTTCAAGCATGGTGGTGGCTGCATCATGGTATGGGTATGCTTGACATCGGCAAATAATGGGGAGTTTTTCAGGACAAAAAGAAATGGGATGGAGCTAAGTACAGGCAGAATCCTAGAGCAAAAACCCTGCTTTAGGTTGCTTTACACCAGACAGTCCAAATCTACACTGGAGTTGATTACCAAGAAGACAGTGAATGTTCCTGAGTCGCCAGGAATCTTGAAAATTGCTGTCTGGCCATGATCCCCAACACATTAACAGAGCTTGAAGAATTTTGAAAAGAATAATGGGCTAATATTTCACAATCCAGGTGTGTAAAGCTCTTAGAGCCTTACCCAAGAAGACTCAAAGCTGTAATCGCTGCCAAAGGTGTTTCTAACATGTTGAATAGTTATGTGAATACTTATGCAACGACTATGTTTTAGTTATTTAATTTCTATTAACCTTTTAAAATGTTAACTATTTCTTCCACTTTTACATTACAGAGTATTTTGTGTAGATGGTTGACAAAAAAATTACAATTAAATCCATTTTAATCCCACTTTGTAACACAATAAAATGTGTAGAAATCCAAGGGTTTATGAATACTTTTGCGAGGCACTGTACCATGATTCTGAAATGCCTTGTCATCACTATACAGTATCTACTGTTGTTAAGCCTTCTTTGTCTCCTGCTATCACTGATGTGTCTCCTCTCCTCATATCTCTTCTGCCAATGTGTTGCTCCTCCTCCTTCCTGGTTGAAGGAATATCCGAAGAGGAAGGTATGACCTAGCCCCTGACACTGCATGGTGACATCCTTCATCCCCCTTCCTCATCCCATAGTTCTTCACAGCATGGCCTCAGACCCCATCTCACAGGTGACCTCGGACATCATCCCGCCTCTGACCTTTAACCTCATTCCGCCACTGACCTCATTTCACAGCTGATTTCATCCTCTGACCTAATCCCATATAGCACAGCAAAACTCTAGTATCAGTCTCAGCCTTTGTCTTCTCCACCTCATGACCTTTTCCACAGAGAATGCAGTTTTCTTTCAGTTCAATTTCATGTTTTCTTTACTCTCCTCACACCAAGTCCTACAATCACCTTCTGCCAACTGCTCGACTTATTTACAACCTTACAACTTTTACTCTCTTACACTGTTTCCTTTCTTTCCAGATCTGGTGGAGGATAAGATGTCTGTCTTTGTCTGTCTGTTCCTGTCTTTCTCTCACTCTGTGTTGTTTCCAAGTCGAAGAAGAGGGAAAAAGAACAAGTCTTCCACTCCTGTCCCAAACCTCTCCAGACCTCTTCCGTTAACATCTTCTCTCCTGTCCACTTCCTGTCTGTCCACCTGTCTATCTCCGGCCCCTCCGGGCCAGTGTAGCACCTCCCACATTGCATACCAGCCAATTATATTATCCAATCAGGATAAAGTCTTTGCCACGGCCAGAATGAGAAGGTTGTTGTTGGTCCCTAGAGTGGCGTCAGGGTCTTCCTCCTTTCCAGCGACTAAGTAGGATGCACTTCGGTGTCTGCGTACTGTAGTTCCTTTTCCTTCCGCTTACAACAGTCCAATGAAGAACCTGTCAACATTTCAACTTTCCAATGCTTGTCTGGAAACAAACTTCTGACCGCTGTTTGAGAATGCTGGACTAGCCCAGACCTGCCATCTGAAAAACGATTTAAATCAACTTTAAGTTGTCAAGGAAACACAGCAAAACAAACATTGATCAAAGACTCTCAAGTGGCCATTGGATCAGCTAAACTCCCCCTTTCAGAGAGGCCTTGTCAAGTGACTGGATGACAACCCAGATTCAGACATTATCTAGTTACAACAACACGGAGAAAGAAGAGCAACTTATTGTGAGAATGACTATGAAACAAAAGCAGTAGACCGTTCAAAACATCCTGGACTGATGTTAGGGTTTATGTTGATTGTTAATTCTTTGTTCCTGTCTGTTGAGATGTAGGAAGGGGGAGTTAGACCCTATGGTTTTGGGATCATATTTAAAAAGAAGCAGAGACCATAACTCAGTGTTTTCAACCGTAGATCTACCAACACAACATTCCACATAGTGTTAGTTAACAGAGCCTGTCTGTATGTGTCTGTATTTTATTCACCACCTTCGTAAGAGGCCCAAAGTGTGTATGGTAAAGGAGGTTGAAAGTGTGTGTGTGAGCGTGTGTGTGTGAGCGTGTGTGTGAGCATGTGTGTGTGTGTGTGTAGGGTTGCAAAATTCTGGTAACTTTCCCAACATTTCCAAGTTTTACTGAAATCCTGGTTGGAAGATTCCCGGAATTGTAAAGGAATAAGCAGGGAATTTTGAGAAAGTTACTGGAATTTTGCAACCCTACAGTATGTGTGTGTGTGTGTGTGTGTGTGTTTGCGCGTGCGTGCGTGGGTGTGTGAGAGAGATATTTTTAGAGGAAGAGAGCAGGTGAATGAGAAAGCGTACTTGTTGTGTTTGGGACAGTTGTGCCCTTGTTCACCGTAACACTCCTGCCAACAACACTGGTAGATAGTTTATAGATTTTTACTTCTAGAAATAGTTATCTTTCTGTTACCTGGCTTTGTGCTCTGGAGCCAATGGCAGCACACTTACAAACATGTTTTTTATTTATTATGTAACAACCAACTTAAACGAGCACTAGCCTACAGAATGTGAGAACACATATCTATTTGTATATACAGTATGTACAAGAAGATAATACTGAATGTTGAATACACTCTATGGAATTGTTTTAAAATTCAATGTTAATATTGATTCGTTTTATCTGTTTCAACTAAGCATCTATCTGTCTCCTGCCGTACAACTGTACATCTCTCCTTTAAGCCATTTCTAGCTGTCCGTCTATCTGTCTCCTGCCGTACAACTGTACATCTCTCCTTTAAGCCATTTCTAGCTGTCCATCTATCTGTCTATCTGTCAGGCACATGCCTAGTAATCTGGCCATCTATCTATCATTCCAGCTGTCAATCTAAATGCCATCTAAATATTGGACACTTGTTGATAGGCTCTGAGCCTTATGCTGATGATGCTTTAACACAGTGAGTTTGAAATGACCCCAGGACAGCACAGTGGAAATTTGATGAGATAAGGTGCATTACTTTTTTAGTGCATTACTATTGACCAGAATCCATGGGCTCTGCAGGTGAAAAGTAGTGCACTATATAGGTAATGGGGTTACCATTTGGGACACAACCTGGGGTCTGGTATACTAGGTGTATGGAGAGGTCTGTTTGATTCAGCTGAGTTCTGCACTATGACAGATGCACTATAGTTATTTACCATATGTACAGAATATGTGCAATCTTTAGATGATGGTTAGTTTGCTTGCGTTTTGAATTTAGGAAGCAGAGAAAAAGAAACTCATCATATCCCATATTTTTAAATAGACAATTGAAATAAACAATGTAGATGAATTGAAATGAAAAAAGTTGTCTTTTTTTCCTCTGGTTCCATTGTGTGAATATATCTGTGATGCTATGTCAATGGTGTCATAACTTGAGGCCAAGATGTATGTCCTTTGCGCAATGTGTTTACTTATTGTTTATAATAACTACATTCAGTAACTACTGCCTAAATGTGATTCTCTATATAAGATTCTTAAAGGGAAACTTCAAGAGGCTAGGAAAAAGTGTATTCTATGTTCTTGAACTTTTCCAATGATAATACATTTACATTTTTGACTGACACCTTTTTATTTTCCATTAGATGTATTTCTAGTTTCAGACATCATTGCACCTCATTAAATGTTCTCTTGAATGAAGATGTGGAATGGCAGTTCTCCACACTCCTCTCTGCAAGCTTACCCTCCCGGGGAAGGCCTGCACACTCCAAGACCTCTCCATCACATTGACAGCTCCCCGCTTGTGCCATCAAACCCCTGCAACTTATCCAGAACGCCGCAGCCCGCCTGGTGTTCAACCTTCCCAAGTTCTCCCATGTCACCCGCTCCTCTGCACACTCCACTGGCTTCCAGTAGAAGCTTGTATCCACTACAAGACCATGGTACTTGCCTACGGAGCAGCAAGAGGAACTGCCCCTCTCTACCTTCAGGCTATGCTCAAACCTTACACCCCAAACCGAGTTGGGGTCTGAAACCAACATCTGAAACCCTACCTCTTCAGAGTATCTCAAGTAATCCCACCAATAACTAGGCATAAGATCAGTATTGGGCTGCCTGTGAAAACACAGCCTAAGGATGTCACAAGTAAGTTTCCATTATACCATATGTCTGTCCTGCAATGGATTTGCTGAAAGAGACAATAACAGAGATGTACTAAAAGAATATATAACTTTATTCCACACTTTCTGCAGTTGTTCACTTGGCATTTTGTGTGGATTTTTATCTTACCGCTGGACCCACAAAAGACACCTCCAATGGGTCAGAATTCAACATCAAACATCCTAGATATTGACAGAAGGCATAGTTCAGTGCCCTATTACCAGGGCTAAGGCACAAAGGCAAATCATTTCATTAAATAAGAAATGTAACAACAACAATAACAGTCATTCAGTATTAACAATTATAATACATCTTTCCTTATGCTAAAACAGATGCACAATTTAGCTTTCAGTTCAGACATGTACAGCTCTGACCTTCAACAGGTCCTGTGTGGGTGTTTGTGTGATCTTGCTAATGGTGGAACTGTGTGCAACTGGCAATGTAAATTCTCCCTTTTATGTTCCTTTAGCTCTGAAATATATAGTATATATACCATGGAACAATTTAATAGGTTTGGGGTGAACTAAATATAGTATCCTGGCACTTCTGGATGGGGAAGGTCTGGCTCTGCAGGGCTGTCCATATTCTTTGAGAGGGGAATTGAGTAGTGTTCTGTTTGGGGGAGGGGTGGTGTTCATGGTGGAGTTGGTGGTTGGGGTCAGGCTGCAGGTTCCCCAGCGTCCCCCTTGGTTTTGGGTTCCTGCCACCAGTCTGCTACGAAGGACTCCTCGTAATCTCCTATCCCCTCAAACTCAGCGTCAGGGGGGGCCGAGGGAGCAGCCACCTCCTCTGGACTCACCACATCCTGCCAATGAACACAACACTGAGTTACATACAACAACACATCTACACTTTAAGATGAGGCTTGATTTCACTTAGCAGACATCTCAGGGATAGAATTCTAACACACGTTGTCATCGTTCTCACACTTTCTGTGCCTTTCTCTTGGCTCTTATAAATCTCTCACTACTAGTGCATGCTGTAATTTCCCTCCCTCCCTTTCCCCTTCTCTGTCCTCCTCCCCCTCTCAGGTCTAGGCTGAGGCTGTGTGGTTAGCTGGGAGGGGCTGACCAGAGAAAAGCCCATGTGGCAGGGCCTCAGAGGCCGACACCACCCAGCTACATACCACACTCCACTGTCGGAAAACACAACCCCCCTCCCTCACCCTATCAATCTCAATCTCTCTCCATTTCTCTTTCTTCCAGCTACTGACCCTCTTTCAATCTCTATCCATTCCACTCTCTCCACAGTAGTCTCCCTCACAGATCCCCTGTAGTCAGAATCAGCTTTCCCCCAAAGTAAATACTGTGATACAGTGGTCCCTTCCCCCACCTCTTTTCATGAAGTTAATTCAAACACTTTGCCGGTCATTTTTCAGTCACAAAATAAGTAGCAAAGTAGCATACTAGCTACTGTACCCCCAAAATTTTGTGCACATTGGAAATATTCACGGCAACCCAGAACCAAATTCTCGCCAGATTTGAAGCGAACCAGCCAATTTATTACAGTTTATTACTTCTGACTTTGGTGCTTCTGTCAAGAATTTGTCCTGCTCATAAAAACTGGTTTCCTCTGTTACTTCCATCTCCACCCCTTTGCAGGCAAGCCTTACCTCATCATCTGTCCGTAGGTAGTTCAGTGCAAACTCCAGCATCTCCCTCTGCTTGGTTGTTTGGTTAAAGTACCTCAGTGCCTCCTGCGCAACAAACGTGGCGCGTCAATATCATTGGTTGACTCAAGAAGCAAGGAGAACACAAAGCTACAGTCCTCATTTGTTTATGGCGCTAACCTACCAAACATTCTATGTTGTTTCCCTTTGTTTCAAATGCTCTTTTGCCCTCCAGTTAGCATACCATGAAGTTTTTACAGCACCACTAACTCCATTAGAAATTGTCACAGTTTCAAAAAGGCCTATATCTTTCAGGGAGCTTTGTTGGTTTTATTTAATTGATGGCGTAGCAGCTGCTGCAAGTGCCGTACTGGTAGAGCATAACCAAGGAATTATAGGACCTAATCCTTTTTAATTTGAATATAAAATATTTTAATTAATTTGTAGGGTGTTGGTGTTCACACCATAGCTACAGTATATGTTCCAGCTTTCCTTTTCTTGGTTTTTGTGGAGCTGTGGTGCTCCATAGCACATTTTAGTAAGGAAACAACAGCTACACCATACACCAAATCTGAAACTATTATGTATCTTGTATGGAATCAGGTTCAGGGCTGAGGTTAATCTGGGTAAAGTTTATTACCATAATTCTAGATCAGTGGTATTCAAACCTTTTCAGCCAGGACCCAATTCTTTCACCAGAATTTATGGGGATCCCTCCCTAGAATCTGTAAATTTTGATTTTTACATCAACAAATAACCTTTCATTCATTGCATTGTCATCTCTTATGAAAATGAAAAGAAACCAATAAATATATTTACTCAATAAAACGTTTTTGTTCAAATTATCTTTCTCAAAAACGTTTGTATATTGTCCCATTCAATCAAAAAAATGTTGCCGATCCCACTGCAGTTCCCGGGGTCGTGACCCTGACTTTGAATACCACTGTTCTAGATGATGGTTCATATTAATCAGAAATTACATGTTAAGTCTTGACAGGGCACATTGGGATGCTGAGTTGGGCGTGAAGGTTATATAAAGCAATCTGGTTACTCACCGGGCGAGGCAGGAAGTGCATCTCCTCCAGGCCCCACTGTTCTCGGTAGAAGCGGTAATACACCATGTTCTGCTGCATCACCTGGTCGTTAGCGTCAAACAGCATGTAGCTGGCCGCACACGGAGCCGCGTTACGCACGTCATTCACTGTACAGAGGGAGGGGGGGTCATCTGACAACTGCATAACAACCTTCTACTCAAGTAGTGTTATTACATTGAATAGTTGCTGTACTAGTTTGGTCATGAAATGCAAGTGCAGTAAAGTTTCTATTGAAGGAGTGACACTTTCATGTGCGTACGTTTATAGTAGGCAAACTGGAGGTAGTGGTACATGGTAGCCACAAACTTTTCCACGAAGAAACCACCGACGTTGGGCATCAGGTTCTCCTCACACTTCACTTTACACTTCAGAACTTCTGTGTAGAGATCTGAGAGAGAGAGAGAGAGAGAGAGAGAGAGAGAGAGAGAGAGAGAGAGAGAGAGAGAGAGAGAGAGAGAAACATTATACTACTATGACCAGAGTCTCTGCCCTCTCAATAGGGACCATGAGTAGATGGGGATTTGTCAGACACTCACCTGCCAGTGTAGGGTAGAAGTCTTTGTACTCTGTGACCTCATATGACCCTTCGCAGCCTGCCAGGCAGAGGTCGTACATTTTGAGGTACTCCGTGGTGGCCTGCTCCATGTCCCGAGCACTGGCGCTGAAATCTCCGGAGTTATACAGTTTCACAGCCTTCAGGAACACAGGCTGGAGGACAGAAAGGACAAAGCAAAGTGTTAGAGACACTAGACATGGGCTGAAAGGACAACAGCCAGGGGTCAGAAAGGACAGCACAGTTAGAGACACTAGATATGGGCTGAAAGAACAACAGCCAGGGGTCAGAAAGGACAGCACAGTTAGAGACACTTAGATATGGGCTGAAAGAACAACAGCCAGGGGTCAGAAAGGACAGCACAGTTAGAGACACTAGATATGGGCTGAAAGAACAACAGCCAGGGGTCAGAAAGGACAGCACAGTTAGAGACACTAGATATGGGCTGAAAGGACAACAGCCAGGGGTCAGAAAGGACAGCACAGTTAGAGACACTAGATATGGGCTGAAAGAACAACAGCCAGGGGTCAGAAAGGACAGCACAGTTAGAGACACTAGATATGGCTGGAAACAGCCAGGGGTCAGAAAGGACAGCACAGTTAGAGACACTAGATATGGGCTGAAAGAACAACAGCCAGGGGTCAGAAAGGACAGCACAGTTAGAGACACTAGATATGGGCTGAAAGAACAACAGCCAGGGGTCAGAAAGGACAGCACAGTTAGAGACACTAGATATGGGCTGAAAGAACAACAGCCCAGGGGTCAGAAAGGACAGCACAGTTAGAGACACTAGATATGGCTGAAAGAACCAACAGCCAGGGGTCAGAAAGGACAGCACAGTTAGAGACACTAGATATGGGCTGAAAGAACAACAGCCAGGGGTCAGAAAGGACAGCACAGTTAGAGACACTAGATATGGGCTGAAAGAACAACAGCCAGGGGTCAGAAAGGACAGCACAGTTAGAGACACTAGATATGGGCTGAAAGAACAACAGCCAGGGGTCAGAAAGGACAGCACAGTTAGAGACACTAGATATGGGCTGAAAGAACAACAGCCAGGGGTCAGAAAGGACAGCACAGTTAGAGCCACTAGCTATGGGCCTGAAAGAACAACAGCCAGGGGTCAGAAAGGGACAAGCAACAGTTAGAGGACACTAGATATGGGCTGGAAGACAACAGCCAAGGGGTCAAAAGGACCAGCACAGTTAGAAGACACTCGATATGGGCTGAAAGAACAAACAGCCAGGGTCAGAAAGGACAGCAACGTTAGAGACACTAGATATGGGCATGAAAGAACAACAGCCAGGGGTTCCAGAACGACAGCACAGTTAGAGACACTAGATATGGGCTGAAAGAAACAACAGCCAGGGGTCAGAAGGACAGCACAGTTCGAGACACTAGATATGGGCTGAAAGAACAACAGCCAGGGGTCAGAAAGGACAGCACAGTTAGAGACACTAGATATGGGCTGAAAGAACAACAGCGATGGGTCAGAAAGGACAGCACAGTTAGAGACACTAGATATGGGCTGAAAGGACAGGAGGGATGCAGAGTAGGAGGACTGGGGGAAACATAGCACACAGTTGCAGAACAACAACCAACATTTGGATAGAATTCAAACCTACATTCTATTTGAAGACTTTTTGCTAACGGAGTTGTGAAGAAATACTATAGTATGTTTCTCAGCCATTCATGTTTAGATTGAGAAAGCCATCGATAACATACTAACCAACACATATTTTCAATGAATCATTCTAGTACTGTGTTCAGGTGGGCCGTCGCGCTTCAGCAAACAAAGGAAAGGAGGGGTGCTCAACAACCATGACAAAAATCTTGAGAAAAACTTACCAAGGTCTAATTCAAGGTAAAAATGAGTTGGAGCACTCAAAAAAAAAAAAGGCAGAGATTTATTTATTTTTGCTCACTTTAATCCATTGTACAGCTTTTTTTGTTGAGTGCTCCAACTCCTTTTTACCTTGAATTAGTCCTTTTGGAAGTGTTTCTTGGTAAGCCATTCTCATCAGTTCTATTACTGTGTCAGGTGATGGGTATCAGAGCTAGTTATGATTTGTATGGCGGGTTGTGCGCTGACCTCACACTGACCTCGTAGGGTCGCTCCTCGTGGTCGATGAGGTACTCGTCCAGCTCAAACAGGGTCTTGTAGTAGTTCATGTTCTTGGAGATAAAGGGGTCTTCTGGGTTCTTCTGGAGGAACGTGTGGGCCGCTGACACGGCCCTTTCTATGTTGTTTAACTGTGGGAGAGAGGAGATACAGAATGGATCATTGTTATTGTTATTGGTCATATAGGGTCCAGTAGTCTGATTGGTCGGTCTTGGTACTCTGGTACTTGGTGTCATCGTTGGATGACTTCTATAGACACTATCTCTCATTCTAATGGATGCCTAGCTGAATCAAGGGGTTCTCTACATGCAGCAGGTCCTGCTAACACTATTTAGTCCTTAGAATAACATGACTTCTAACCTCAAATCACCTCACCAACTGCTAAGAGGTGTGCTTCAGCCACTGACACTATATGGCTTTAAGGCATGTGCTGAAATTATCAACTGTCAATCAACACTTTTGGCAGTAAGAAGAATATGGTCTGCCTATATTCAAAGGTTACTATGTAGTAGCTAAGCCTGGCAATTGTGAAGAACCCATGCTGTGTAGATTCAAACAGTGACCTTGGTCTGTCTTATGGAGGAGGGTTTTTGGAATATATCTGAACAAGTGAAGAAACGGAGAATGCTCTTAACAGAGCCATGAGATCACCGGTTTGGCTGACACGCGCATGGAAAACCTATGAGAACGTCTGGATGTGAATAGAGGAAGATGCTGAGAGCATGCAGAGGTAATGGCCTGAGAAGATGCTCTCCAAGGGAGGAGTGGGCTTGCCTGAGGAAACATTCAAATTATAACACTCACGTGTGCGCACAGGCCGCAGAAATAGTTGCACACATATATTTTACACACATTCCAGTTGCAAGCGTGTTTGGCTTACTTTCACTTCAAAAGTAAACCCTCTTTATTTTGCCACGGGGAACGCTGTTGATTTGCCTGCCTGGTATTCTGCCTCATAGCCCTACGTGTGGTGTTTGCTTTGGTAGAAAATAAGAAGGCGTTTGTTCTTACTGGGGGACTGTTTAACGGGGCGCTGTTTAAGAGACGTGGCATGTGTGTTCAACTGCTGAGTTTGCTGCATTCTCAACAGGTGGGCTGAGGAAAGTCTAGGAAAAACGTTATTCTTTCCCGCTTGTTTCACGCTGTGACAAAGTATTGCTGATGGAAAACAAGCTACTATATGCTATTTCATTTGAAGTATCAGGCTATGACAGTAGCCTATGTAAATATCGGCCTATTATGCATTAGTTACGCATAACGGTGTAATATGTGTGCCAAGACAGGTTATTACAATTAGATGAGAATATTAGAATGAATCTTTTATTAAACATATCCTAAGATTCTTACAATTAGGCCTATTATCTACTTAAGGGAAAACCCACTGTGACCATCAATAGTATAGACATGTAGACGTTTATAAACCGTTATTTGGATATCTTACCCTAAATGTATTTAATGTCCACCCATTCAGCAGAATAACTATTTGATCTCACCTGGTAGTAAGCATACTGTATGTACCGGTAGGGTACCCTCTTCTCAAAAGCTTCCAGAACATCTCTCTTTGGATAGGCCACTGTAAACACTGGAAAATTTGTTTTGCACTTTTTAAGGCACGAAGCCCGGAGTAAGAAATGCCGCATGATGCGGAGACTGCTGTCCGCGAAGAGGGTATCATTGTCCCGACTGACAGTGCTACAGTTCTGGCTGCAAAACGCTTCGCTGTCTTTCAGGAGCCGGTGAAGACGCAAACTCAATTCCAGGTACTTGATGCTGTCCCTCCAGTTCTGCGTTCCATACTGGTCCAGAGCATGTCCATACGCAGATTCAAGTGGCATCAGATCTTTCTGTGGGAAACTCTTAAAGCTATATTTCTCATACTGGGCTTCGACCAGAACTGGAGCGACCAAAACTACACAGAAACAAAATGAAAGCCAGGTTTCTTTAACGTTTTTAGGGGCCATTATGCTTATTCTCTATTATGCCCTCCGTTTCTCCAACCAAACACGATTTCGGGATAATTTCTCCAGGGTTTTCTTCACAAGTGAATGGTCATGTCTGTTTGCACGTACAGAGCCTTGGCCCGGCTTGGAGAGACGGAGAGGAGGGGACAGAAAAGTCAGGGTTCCTCTGCAGGAGTTTCACAGGGAGTCAGTCGGAGGCAGTGATTTCGGGGTTAGGTTAGTCCCTGGGTCATAATGCCCTCATGATTTTTAGAACTAACATTGACCAAGTTACAGAAAAATACAAAACATTTAATAATTTAGCATTTTGATGGGCCGATGGTAGGCCCTACATTATTTAAAAATATATATTTGGAGGAAAAGAACACTGAATAAAGTGCGTAAAATATGTAAATATAGCCTATGTATGACTGTGTGGTGGTCTAATAAAGATATGCTATTATTGCCATATTGAAACTTCTAAAGCAAATACTTTTTCACAAGTTCGACATCTCTTCAATGTTGTTTTTTGCATGGGTAGGTTTGTTGGATCTACAAACATTCCAGCAAGCATGTTGGAACATGAAATGCCAGATGAGATGCCCAATGGAGAGGGACATGCTTTTTATTTTGAATTTTAACAGTGAAAATATGAGCAGCAAATTAACATAGGCCTATTTGTAAATGTTAGATAAATAACAATTCATATTTAAATAGAGAAGTAGTCCAAAGGTTGGAATTTAGGACCCGCGAGAACATAATTATCTAGGCCTTTCTTTCCGACTCAGCCAGATGGGCGCCTCCCAGTTAAATCAGCTTCTCTATAGAAGCGGGTGGGGTATTCCCACACAGAGCAAATAACTTTCACTCACTGTCTATGTTCGATAGGCATACAAATAATAAGGCTTTGTAAATAGTATAGCACAAACGTTATTACATAGTAGGCCTACGCTAAAAACGCTTTATTGTAGGCGTAGGCTATGCTTTAAATCCCCTTCCTCCGGCTTGCGCTCGAGTCAGATACCTAGGTTTATTACATATGGCCGAGGGCTACTTTACACGTTTACAGAATTCCTCTAAAAAGGAGGGGGTGAATTGGATGCCACACACCTCCCCCTTCTGAATGAGCAGAAGCTACGTCCGCACTTCTCTCTCTCTCTGCATCTATAGACTGTAGCCAACGGAGAAGTCACGGCGAAATCATCCGTCCGTTTCTCATACTTTAACAAAACACCAAAGAATACGTTTATTATGGAGTCAATATTAGCGTTATTTTTGCTCTGTATAACGGGAACCCATGTAAGCTGTATCCCAGGCCCGTTAGAAGACGTGGTTATTGATCGGTATGACATTCCAAGAGTTTGTCCCAGAGAAGTGCAAACGGGAGATTTCGTCCGTTATCATTACAACGGTACCTTCACCGACGGCAAGAAGTTCGATTCAAGGTAAGCTACGATAGGTCTATTGACATAGTGCATAAGAGCATCAAAGTAGAGACAGGCTATCTGATTCCTGTGCAAATAAATTCTGTGCCGGCTGGAGGACATTTTAGTTTTGTTCGTTTGACTATATGGTCTCACGCAGTTGGCCTGTTGTAGACGTGTCCGGCCTTTACATTTGCAGCCCCTCTAAGCAACCATTTTGAAACTTTGTATCGAAGACCCTGCGCTTCACAGATACATTGTAACTTTGCCACTGCGCTGTGCATTTCTGCACATAAACATTGTAACTGCGGTGTGCGTTGGTGCGTGTCATATGCATCCCCGAACGACGCCTATATGTGGCGCTCTGCACAATATAGTTCAATGGTGTTTACATTTTTAGTCATTTAGCAGACGCTCTTATCAAGAGCGACTTACAGGAGCAATTAGGGTTAAGTGCCTTGCTCAAGGGCACATCGGCAGATTTTTCACCTAGTCTGCTCGGGGATTAGAACCAGCGACCTTTCGGTTACTGGCACAACGCCCTTAACCACTAAGCTACCTGCCGCCCGTTTACTACTGCGACATGCCACGCACACTCAATGCAAAGACAAACAGCTGAATTCAGTTGGTTGACAGGCGAGGCCTAGGCTATATCTTAAAATCCATTATTTAGGCCTTATTTAGTTATTTTATGGCCTACTTTTGTATTTTGATCATGACTTATTGTATTCTTTGCACATAACCCATTCAGATATGGTTAGATAAATGGTTTACAACCAGTTAAAATGAATGTAAATAGTCTAATATAATAATAGGAATAGAATATAATAACTTTACTAGACCCAGCCTACCATTGAAATAAATATCATCTTTGTGCTCTTGAGGAATGTGGCTTCTTTTCTCTCTCCCCCTCTCTTCTACCCATCCCCCCTCTTCAGTCATGAACGTGGTGCACCCTTCAGTGGCCAGGTGGGACTGGGGCTTCTCATCACTGGTCTGGACAGGGGAGTCCAGGGCATGTGTGTCAATGAGCGCAGAAAAGTTACTGTCCCCCCACACCTTGCCTATGGAAGTATAGGAGCAGGTAACAACTCATTTAATTCTCATATATGACCTTTACAGTTTACATAGGCCCTGGCGCCAGAAAGTGTGCCCTGTACACACTAAATTCCACAAATAGTTATCCTCTGATGTTGGCCCCAATCGTATATTCCAGTGGCACACAATGAATTCCCAACCTGTCTCTCTCTCCTAGGTGATGTGATCCCTCCTGACACTGTGTTGGTGTTTGATGTGGTTCTGCTCGACATCTGGAACACAGAAGACAAGGTCCAGACACGCACCCTCAGCAAACCTGAGAGCTGCAAGCGCCTCGTGGAAGCTACTGACTTCATCCGTTATCACTACAACGGCACACTGCTGAACGGTGTACCCTTCGACTCCAGGTGAGGTCCATATCTACTCTGGAAAACCAGTCAGGCTGTGTTTGTGTGCGTGCGGGTGTTAACCGTTTAGGTCCATGTCTCTTTCAGCCACTCTAGGAACGGCACCTATGACACGTACGTGGGCATGGGCTACCTCATTAAGGGCATGGATGAGGGTCTAATCGGCATGTGCGTGGGAGAGACACGCACCATCATCATCCCACCCTTCCTGGCCTATGAGGAGAAGGGATATGGTAACTACTAGTAACCACTGTTTATAGCCCCTAGCCTATAAGGTATGTTAAAGATTACAAGGTTAAGACAACATGGTTCTAATTTCCCATAACTCTTTGCAATTAATACCACCAGCATTGCTAGTTAGCAATGGCGCTAGTAGTTATCAATGGCGCTGGTCCCATTAATTAGTTTATTTTCGAATGCTTCCGCATGGAATTATTACATTGTCTTAACCTTGTCTTTTTTAACCTAGCCTATGAGGAGAAGGGATATGGTAACTACTAGTAACCACTGTTTATAATCCCTAGCCTATGAGGAGAAGGGATATGGTACAAACTGTTTATAACCCCTAGCCTGAGCCCTTAATAGCTGATAAACACAGGAAGTGTATAGTAGGCTACATAGAGTTTAGAGTCTAGAAAAGTTTATTCAAGTGTCACTCCACAACAACAGTTGACAAGACACATTACAGATTAAAAACAACATTGTGGACCACCCCCTCTGACGAAGTAAGATTTGCATTGGGTTGTGTATAGATCATATAATTGACTCTAAACACCCATCCTCCTCTTCCAGGCACCGTGATTCCATCCCAGGCCACCCTGGTGTTTGAGGTCTTCATGATTGACCTGTTCAACCCTAAGGATGACATTGCCGTGGTGGTCAAGGAGGTGCCTAAGACCTGCACCCGTAAAACAGTGGTGGGAGACTACATCCGTTACCACTATAATGGCACCTTCCAGGACGGCTCTGGCTTTGACACCAGGTAGGAATGTGTTTAGTACATCTACTGTCTGTCAAACCAAGACTTGTCTGAGTCAATAGTGAGTGAAAGGGTGCATTGTAAAGACTGACTCTAATTTGCATTTACTATGTTTCCTCTTTCTGCAGCTACCAGCGCAACAGCACATACAATACCTACATTGGCATGGGCTATGTGATCCAGGGCATGGACAAGGCCCTCCAGGGGTTGTGTATTGGGGAGAAGAGGCGTGTCATCCTTCCTCCTCACATGGCCTATGGGGAGAAGGGAACTGGTGAGTACGTGGCTCTGTGGCATTGGCCAAAGGTTTTGGGGTGGGAGGAGTCAGAGTATAATTTACATATCTTACTGTCCAGTGTCCATGATGACTCAGTGACACGTATGATAGAATGTCTCAGCTTAAGGCACTGAGTTTGCACACATTTTCATGTCCCTACTCCTATTCAAATTCCTTTCTACTCTCCTCCACCCCACTCTAGGAGACATCATCCCTGGCTCGGCCGTGCTGGTCTTCGACATCCACGTTATCGACTTCCACAACCCCAAGGACCTCATTGAGATCAAAGTGACCAGCAAGCCCAAGAAGTGCAACCTGACCAGTGAGGTGGACGACCTGATCCAGTACCGTTACAACTGCTCCCTGATGGACGGCACCCTGCTCTACTCCTCGTGAGTAGGAGCGCCTCCTGTCCATCGCACCGCCATACTGCAACGCCACACTGCAACGCCTGGTCCAGTCATGTAATCTAATCCCCCCTGGCTACTTGTCTGACTGATATCACTAGGCCTCCACGCCAACAGACAGGAAGATTTATCAGCTACTTATGTTGTGTAGAAATGAAAATATATGAGACAAAATATAACCAATATATAGAAACGAGCCATATCTATAACCATATACTGTATCTTACATATTATATACATCTTACAACCTAGAAAATATAGGGCTACATACTTAATGCCTACTGACTGATAGCACGTTGGCGCATCGGCAGGGCCTTGATCAATATCTCCCTCCTCTTCCAGGGACCACTATGAGAAAGCCCCCATCACCACCCTCGGAGCCAACAAAGTGATTGAGGGTCTGGACGAGGGCCTGAGGGGCATGTGTGTGGGAGAGAAGAGAGTGGTGATCGTCCCACCCCATCTGGGACATGGAGAAAATGGAGGTGAGTGAATGAACTAGTCAGGGTCACTTTCATCATGAAACCCAGAACAAAAAATCCTGCGTGGAGATATCTTGCATTTGGACATGACATTATTCTGACACTGTCTCAATGTCTCTCATCATACTCTCCCCTCCATGTCCCTGCAGCCAAGGGCGTTCCCAGCAGTGCCGTGCTGCACTTTGAGCTGGAGCTATTGGACCTGCAGAAGGGAGTGCCTGACGGCTACATGTTTGTGTGGCTGGGAGACAGCCCAGATCCCCTGTTCCCTGCCATGGACCTCAACAAAGATCTATCTGTCCCTCTGGAGGAGGTAAGATAACACACGCCAGACATTTAGCATGATCCATCAATCAAAGTCAGGATTCACCCAATACATTCTACCCTTTGCTTGGTAAGGCACTGGTGCTGGTAACATCCTTGTGTAAGTCAGGACAACAAATTAGGTGATAATCTAAAACTGCAATTATACTTCAAATGATGTACCTCTTGAAAGGACAACTCTCATATTTCTCTCTGCTCTCCCTCTCTCTAGTTCACAGCCTTCATAAACCTCCAGGTGGCGGAGGGCACAGGTCGCCTGAGGCCAGGGATGGATGCTGACGGCATCATCAAGGACATGTTCAACAACCAGGACCGCAACAGGGACGGCAAGATAGTGGCTGAGGAGCTCAAACTGAAGGTGGAGGAGGATTCTGACAGGGCCATACATGAAGAGCTGTGAGGGGGAACAGTCGAGCCGGGCAGAGGGGTGTGGGGATGGAGAGAGACAACAGACAGTATCTATGCAATTAGGGGGTTACCAACTAGTGGAGCTCCTTAAATTGTTTTTATTATGTAGAAAACACAGGAGGATGCTGGCATCTTAATTGGGGAGGACGGGCTCGTGGTAATGGCTGGAACAGAATAAGTTGAATGGTATCAAATACATCAAACACATGGTTTGATGCCATTCCATTGGCTCCGTTCCAGTCATTATTATGAGCCGTTCCCCCCTCAGCAGCCTCCACTGGTTGAAAATAACCCAAAATGGTCCATACTTATCTAAAGGAAGGACTGTTTCCATGTGTTTTAAAGTGCCTTATGAAAATGTGGTTAATCTGTACTTTTTATAAATAACTTATTCTGCAGCCTTGAATCATTATGTTTTTAAAAAAATGTTTGACTGAGACACATTTAGCTAAAAGCACTTTCATTGAACTACCTTGTCAGCCATTTGGGATGGTCCTTCTTCCCAGGATGCAATGCAAGTGGCTTCAAAATGGCTGATAGAAATAAATGGCTGTCTCCCACCCCTCCCCCTTCTTCCCTGACATGAAAATGATGTTAAGACTGTAGGTTGTATATTTTAAGAGTGGCTATTTTGTGCAATACAAGATTTTTTTTAAGTGCCTTGCATTGTGGAACATACATCACATAATAAACAACATCTGTTTTTCTAATAAAAACCTATAAAAAATGCATTGTTTCCTGTGTTTTGGATCCATGTCCATTGTCTATGGATTGTGTAGGCTGGGAATAACATCACACTGGTCATTACAAAATTGGATTTTGGCATGTTTTACAAAAATCTAGATGAAGTGAAACAAGGGTTCAGTGGCCACATTTTATTTACAATTGTGGAGAGGTTTTCCTGTTATACCTACATATCTCATACAGGTGAAATGTACAATTTTGTGACACTCAGTAGAGTATGTAGCGAACACACTTCTCAACAGAAATGTATGACTTGATTCTTGCATACTGTACCATTGACATCACCATTTTATATGAATGGATTTCCATTTCAAATCTTTAAACTGGGTGAATTTTATATTATAATTTTGCAAAACATACAAATAATAGCAATAGAATCAGATGCATTGGCTGTACCAAGAACTAAAACCTCAGTTATTATGTGGCAATGAAATGTTTTGCCATCACACAAAAAATGAAAAGTACAAAATATTTGGATGTTCTTCACCATAGACCGAATAGGTCAACCATTACTTTTACAGGACCATAAAAGGCAACAATTGGCCTCTAAAATATAATCAAAACTCTGCTGTTTTACAGAAAGTGATGGCATTTCAGAGAAAATACAAACATGCCAAATATTTAAAATGCTATTACTTTTCTCATGTACTTTCAATGTCTCAAGACTGAAGGTGGATGGATTCTTTGAGACAAGCATATACACTGCTCAAAAAAAATAAAGGGAACACTTAAACAACACATCCTAGATATGAATGAATTAAATAATCTTATTAAATACTTTTTTCTTGACATAGTTGAATGTGCTGACAACAAAATCACACAAAAATTATCAATGGAAATCAAATTGATCAACCCATGGAGGTCTGGATTTGGAGTCACCCTCAAAATTAAAGTGGAAAACCACACTACAGGCTGATCCAACTTTGATGTAATGTCCTTAAAACAAGTCAAAATGAGGCTCAGTAGTGTGTGTGGCCTCCACGTGCCTGTATGACCTCCCTACAACGCCTGGGCATGCTCCTGATGAGGTGGCGGATGGTCTCCTGAGGGATCTCCTCCCAGACCTGGACTAAAGCATCCGCCAACTCCTGGACAGTCTGTGGTGCAACGTGGCGTTGGTGGATGGAGCGAGACATGATGTCCCAGATGTGCTCAATTGGATTCAGGTCTGGGGAACGGGCGGTCCATTGCATCAATGCCTTCCTCTTGCAGGAACTGCTGATACACTCCAGCCACATGAGGTCTAGCATTGTCTTGCATTAGGAGGAACCCAGGGCCAACCGCACCAGCATATGGTCTCACAAGGGGTCTGAGGATCTCATCTCGGTACCTAATGGCAGTGAGGCTACCTCTGGCGAGCACATGGAGGGCTGTGCAGCCCCCCAAAGAAATGCCACCCCACACCATGACTGACCCACCGCCAAACCGGTCATGCTGGAGGATGTTGCAGGCAGCAGAACGTTCTCCACGGCGTCTCCAGACTCTGTCACGTCTGTCACATGTGCTCAGTGTGAACCTGCTTTCATCTGTGAAGAGCACAGTGCGCCAGTTGTGAATTTGCCAATCTTGGTGTTCTCTGGCAAATGCCAAACGTCCTGCACGGTGTTGGGCTGTAAGCACAACCCCCACCTGTGGACGTCGGGCCCTCATACCACCCTCATGGAGTCTGTTTCTGACCGTTTGAGCAGACACATGCACATTTGTGGCCTGCTGGAGGTCATTTTGCAGGGCTCTGGCAGTGCTCCTCCTGCTCCTCCTTGCACAAAGGCGGAGGTAGCGGTCCTGCTGCTGGGTTGTTGCCCTCCTACGGCCTCCTCCACGTCTCCTGATGTACTGGCCTGTCTCCTGGTTGCGCCTCCATGCTCTGGACACTACGCTGACATACACAGCTCGCATTGATGTGCCATCCTGGATGAGCTGCACTACCTGAGCCACTTGTGTGGGTTGTAGACTCCGTCTCATGCTACCACTAGAGTGAAAGCACCGCCAGCATTCAAAAGTGACCAAAACATCAGCCAGGAAGCATAGGAACTGAGAAGTGGTCTGTGGTCACCACCTGCAGAACCACTTCTTTATTGGGGGTGTCTTGCTAATTGCCTATAATTTCCACCTGTTCTCTATTCCATTTGCACAACAGCATGTGAAATTTATTGTCAATCAGTGTTGCTTCCTAAGTGGACAGTTTGATTTCACAGAAGTGTGATTGACTTGGAGTTACATTGTGTTGTTTAAGTGTTCCCTTTATTTTTTTCAGCAGTGTATATCCATGGCTTGCATTACTATTACTTTGACCAAATGGTGGCATTGTGGCGCCAAGAAAGTCCATTGTAAAACATAGCCACGCACAAAACCCTATGCCATAATACCATGACAGTATCATTAGATTCCATACTGCCGATATCCACATAAAACAGTAGCCTATTGTTAAGAGCTGAAAATAAATAAAGTGCCTAAAATGGAAATAATTTAATGTAATCATTCTCATAGAATAGACACGTTTCAAGAAAAAGGAGAACAAAGTCTCACAAAACAAAAAAGATGGCTTATAGTGTATAGAACACTAGGACAAAACACTGACGTTTCAAACTGGTAAAAGTCAGGTTAGGTTGCCCTTTATCCCTTTATATCACAAAGATACATGACAAACAAACCATAACGCCTTCAACTTTCAACTATACAGAGAAGACAACATCTAGATCCACACAACAGCACCCACATGCATACATACATACATACAGTTGAAGTCGGAAGTTTACATACAGCATAGCCAAATACATTTAAACTCAGTTTTCTGACATTTAATCCTAGTAAAAATTCATTGTTTTAGGTCAGTTAGGATCACCTCTTTATTTTAAGAATGTGTCAGAATAATAGTAGATTTATTTATTTCAGCTTTTATTTCTTCCATCACATTCCCAGTGGGTCAGAAGTTTACATACACTCAATTAGTATTTGGTAGCACTGCCTTTAAATTGTTTAACTTGAGTCAAATGTTTCGGGTAGCCTTCCACAAGCTTCCCACAATAAGTTGGGTGAATTTTGGCCCATTCCTCCTAACAGAGCTGGTGTATCTGAGTCAGGTTTGTAGGCCTCCTTGCTCGCACATTCTTTTTCAGTTCTGCCCACAAATTTTCTATAGGATTGAGGTCAGCGCTTTGTGATGGCCACTCCAATACCTTGACTTTGTTGTCCTTAAGCCATTTTGCCACAACTTTGGAAGTGAACTTGGGGTCATTGTCCATTTGGAAGACCCATTTGCGACCAAGCTTTAACTTCCTGACTGATGTCTTGAGATGTTGCTTCAATATATCCACATAATTTTCCTATCTCATTATGCCCTCTATTTTGTGAAGTGCACCAGTCCCTCCTGCAGCAAAGCACCCCCACAGCATGATGCTGCCACCCTCGTGCTTCACGGTTGGGATGGTGTTCTTCGGCTTGCAAGCAACCCCCTTTTTCCTCCAAACATAACTATGGTCATTATGGCCAAACAGTTCTATTTTTGTTTCATCAGACCAGAGGACATTTCTCCAAAAATTTCGATCTTTGTTTTCATGTGCAGTTGCAAACCGTAGTCTGGCTTTTTTATGGCGGTTTTGGAGCAGTGGCTTCTTCCTTGCTGAGCGGCCTTTCAGGTTATGTTGATATAGGACTCGTTTTACTGTGGATATAGATACTTTTGTACCTGTTTCCTCCAGCATCTTCACAACGTCCTTTGCTGTTGTTCTGGGATTGATTTGCACTTTTCGCAACAAAGTACGTTCATCTCTAGGAGACAGAACGCGTCTCCTTCCTGAGCGGTATGATGGCTGCTTGGTCCCATGGGGTTTATACTTGCGTACTATTGTTTGTACAGATGAACGTGGTACCTTCAGGCATTTGGAAATTGCTCCCAAGGATGAACCAGACTTGTGGAGGTCTACCACTGGAATTGTGATAGTGAATTATAAGTGAAATAATCTGTCTGTAAACAATTGTTGGAAAAATTACTTGTGTCATGCACAAAGTGTATGTAAACTTCTGACTTCAACTGTACCTCATATGTAGACAGGGCATACATATCACCAGTAACGTTTCACTCCCCACAAATCCAATACATTTACCAGACGGGAAGTGACCTAGTTTTCCTATCCCCTTTCAGTTGGACTATTGATGGTTTGTAAACACAACTGAGAATGTGACAATAGGGTTGTTGAGTAGGACTATAAAGGATGTTTCTCTCAAATTGTAAGTGTTCAACAAGGACTCAACTGGAGGAGCATGGAAGGATGACTCCAAAACACTGTCTGGGATCCACCCCAGCGACCCACACAAACAGCCATTGGAGCTTTAGTAAAAGACAACCTAAAAACAATACCATTCTGACTTGGCTCATGGTCTCTGACTACTGGCACATTCTGAGCAAGCGCTTCCTAAACCAGCACGACATAGTTCCTGTAGCGTCGGAACGCTCGTTACTGATTGGCCAGTGAGATGACGTTCGTGGTCAGGTCACTTGGTGCAGGTGAGGTGGAGCATTATGGCGTTAGGCACTTCCATGGTCTCATCCTTCACCAGCACGATGTCATAAGCATTCAGGTAGGACGTCTTCCTCTCCTCCACCTGAGAAAGATCATGCAGAGGGAACGGTTAACAAAGGGTAAATGTCCAACATCATTTAAACAGTGTTTGAACAAGCTGACTGTGCCTTAAAACAAGCACTCAATTCCCTTAAAACAAGCACTCAATAAAACTTCAGAGTAAAAACAAAAATGTTACTTTTTGCATGGTTGAGGGTTTATTAGGGTGTGAGTGAGAGAGAGTGTGTGTGAGAGCGTTGGTGTGTGTGCAGCCATTAGTACCCTACCTTGTCGTTGAGGAAGCCTATCTTGAGGATGTTCTCCATGCTGTGCACCCCATCAGCCATGGTCAGGTCCCCTAGAGAGTCTCCCAGCAGCAGGACGTTGTGGCGTGACTTGAGCTCCTGGAAGTGGCCTGTGTTCAGCAGAGCTCCCTCCCTCTTGTTATAGATGTGGATCAGCTCCCCTTTGAACGCCTTCAGCGCACCCTGAGAAAGAGGGACAACAATGGGTTAAATCCTCATTCAAACAACTAACCTTTTACCCAGTCTTTGTGTCGTCACTAGCATAGGAAAAGCTAATTTAATGCAATGAAACTAAGTGTTTTCAAATTCCATAGAGGCTACCTGTATTGTATAGACTGTGGTTTGAGTGTCAGTGATAGCCTACTCACAGTCTCATCAAAGTCCATGTAGTTGGAGAAGACCTTGACGTTGGGGTGAAAGACCCCGGCCTGGCGGATCACCTCCTCCAGCACGTCTCCTACCCCAGCAGAGAAGATGAGCAGAGGGATGCTGTGCTCCTGCAGATGGTCAAAGAACAGCTGGTAGCCCTCCCTGTGGGGCCAGCAGTATAGTTAGCACTGTAATCACTACCATTATAGTCCTGGTCACCATTATCATTATTGACTTGATATGGCTTCATAATTTGGTACCATGTATGCTATAGATGACTTTACCCTACTAAACAGCCATGATTGTGGTTTGGCAAAAGTAGCAGGGTCTTCTCACCTGAGCATAGCATCAGACTCCTTCACCACATCCTGAAGCAGGTCTTTCCTGATGCGCTGCTGCACCAGAAGAGTATGGGCTTTAGTCCACCTATGGGATGCATGGCACAAGGGGATTGGTTAACCCCATCAGTCCCGAGACCCCAGCAAAAATCAGCTTTTCATTTATTTGACTTTCAATTATCTACATGTCCAGCCCTTATATTTAGCTTCACAATGAAGTATTTGACCATTTTATTTTCAGGACAACCAGAGCTACGAGTAGAACACAGAACATAAACAGTGGCTTTCGTGAGTTTTATTGACAAATGTCTGAAGCAGAAATCTTATAAAAATGAATTTATATGAATGCTGTACAGAAATTGTTTGCTCATTGGGAAATGAATATCCAACTAGTCAATGACAACTATTTGGATTTGTGAGCTATGTGAGCTTATTATAGACACTATGTCCTGGGATTTCCTATGATCTTAAATTTTAGTCATTTAGCAGATGCTCTTATCCAGAGCGACTTACATGAGCAATTAGGGTTAAGTGCTTTGCTCAAGGGCACATCAACAGATTTTTCACCTAGTCGGCTCGGGGATTAGAACCAGCGACCTTTCGGTTACTGGCACAACGCTCTTAACCACTAAGCTACCTGCCGCCTTCTATGTAGAAGAACCCCTTACATTCTAATGATGCTTGTGTAGCTTGTAAGCGTCATAGAGCAAAACATGCGTGTTCGTGAGTCTCAGCTTTTCATAGATAGCTTTTAATAGTTTGTAGCGCAAACCATTCGGACTCTACAGATGTTGTTGTAAAAAGACCTGGCCCCAGGCCCCTTCGGGATCCACCCTTTTCTCACAAACACCCAGCCCCAGTTAATCACACAGACCAATGGTTGGATGCAGAATAATTAGACGAATCCGATGGTACAACCCAGAAATCTGTAGCTTAAACACACAATGTTTAATAGGGATTAGAAGTCCAAAACGCGCCAGTATTACAGTGGGACTCATTGGGTTATTGAGACTGCAGGGAGGTGCCTATGTCTGATGTAGCAGAGGGTATTGGTCAGTTTGACAGCAAAGTGAGGTCTAGAAGGGCAGTGATAGGCTCAGAGAGAGCTGTGACTCACCACTCCACCATGAGGGGCAGCTTCTCCTCCGCTGTCCGTTTGGAATCTATCTCTATGGGGTAATATGTGTTGAGCAGGTCCTTCAGCTGAACGGAGGGAGAACAGACAACACTCAGAAAGGACAAACTGGCTAGTATGCATCTAGAAAAGACACACAGTTATTTTTCACTCAGTTAAGCAGTTCATCTTGTGTCATAGATTTTCTAATCTACACAACTTTATCTGCCAAATCAGAGGAAGTTCTGTCATGTGCTCTAGTCATTTTTCTGATGAAATTTGAAATATACCTGTGCTTTGCACTCCTCACTGATGAGCTTGCTGTTGTCCAGGATATCTATAAAAATAATGCAGATGCAAACATAATTCTCATGGGTTTTTAGACAAAACATGAGTATCTTCTCTGTACAAGCTATCCCAGCTTTAATACTTACTGTGACTGGTAGGACACCGCTTCCCATTGTAGGCAAACCGTGTGAGGGTCATGTCAAAGTCTGAAATCACCTGAAAAAGCAAGAGACATCGTCAGCATATTATCAAGCAAACCTCCCAGGATGGAACTAGGAGAGTAAATTGGGTGTGGTACACATATAATTACATATACAATCCTAATTGAATAGGATCTCTGTGGTGGTACCTGAATAGTGCTGGTGCTATCCATCTGCATGGTCTTAATGATCTCCTCCACCCTCTGAGGGTCCCTCATAAACACTGAGGGGTTGGACAGCTCTGGGATCTACGGAGGAGGGAGACAAGGAGTGAGTAGAGAGAAAAACAGAAGAGCTTAATATTTCACCACTCCATTTTTACATTTTAGTCATTTTTGAGACGCTCTTATCCAGACTGACATACAAGAGCAATTAAGCTTAAATACCTTGCTCAAAGGCACATCAACAGATGTTTCACCTAGTCGGCTCAGAGATTCGAACCAGCAACCTTCGATTACTGACCCAACGCTCTTAACCACTAGGGCCAGGCTATCTGCCACCCATAAACCCTCATACTCACTAATGCTACTGTGCTTGCTACTGTTTACAGCATTTACCATATACAGACCACAGAATAGTGATTTCACAGCAGCCTAGCTTTGGAACACAACATCGGGAGTCTGTGTATTGGTTGAACAATTCAGATCAGCCCTCCTGCTGATAACATCACATGCATCCAGCTGATACATTGTTATAATACTGTACTGAGGAGCTGTAGCCTAACGTTACATACCTCTTCACATATCACTTGCATGTCATCCCCTCAGTTGCAGCTGTTGTGTTGTCATAGCCAGGCCTTGAATAAATGGAATCTTACACTTGGGTACACTAATACCCCAATCACATACATAACATGCATGAACAAGTACTCTGTGTGATTTGCCTTTTTGGGAGTCTTGTTATGTCACTGTCACATAGCTACAAATAGGCATCGCCATTCTGCTCTGAGAAATTAGGCAGCTTGTTTGTAACTTAATAACTCACGTTACGTTTGATAGCTAGCTAGCCATTTCAGTCATTCGCTCAGTGGCAATCAGGAAAATAAAGTACACTTACCATTTTTCTAGAGAGATGTTGTTTAATTCAAGAAAAGTTAAATGATCCAAACTATGGATCTAGCTAGAAATGCAATCAATAAGTTATATCGTTAGCTAGCTAGTTAGCCAAGCTGCAATAGCCAGGCTACACTTTTTGCGCGCATTTGCTTGCATAAATTGAGGACGGAAGTGTGTGCGTTTAACACCTTCCCCAGTACCACAAAATCAGTATTAAATGTTCCTAATATAATTTATGTTCTGATAGAGCAGATGAAGAAAGTATTATGGCAAATTGTGTGCTTCTATGTATTCTTAATTCACGTTTTCCCTCTCACTACATCTGAAATGGACTGTATTTAATAAAATGTATTATGTAGTGTCAAATATTAGTATTACATGACTGTTACACATTCACTGTAATGTAGGCATACCAGTCAGATAGATCAAATAAAACACAAACTTTTTATGACAAGTGAGGCTGATGCTCTGATTCCATTTGCTCATCACTGTGATGTAATAATGAACAATTCTGGAACATAACATATGTGGAACATTCACAATTCACAATCCTTAGATGAACACAGCTGCTGTAGTAAACCAGCTAAATGTCTAGGCCGAAGAGCTAGCAAAACCCCATTAAATAGAGTTTATTATAGATGTATTAGGCAAGGAATGAATGAACTGGAAGAGATGGCCACCTCCACCAAATTTCAAAGATGCAACATGGAGAGAAAAATGAGTGCTATGACCTGTACAATCTTTAACGAGTTACGTCTGGAGACAAAACTCTGTGATGTGGTCATCAAAGTCAATGGAATCGAGTTCAATGCTCACAAGAACATCCTTTGTGGATGCAGCTCATACTTCCGGTGAGTAGCTTCCCTTGGTTGGGACAGGTTGGGTTGGGATGTGATGGCCAGATGGCATTCCCATTCTGGCATCACTTGACTTTGAGAATGAGAGAACATCGGTGATTTATGGTATCTCTGGCTTGGTCCAAATCTCTGTAGTTATTTGTCACTTTTGGGGAGTCCTGAGGAACTTCGTTCGATTGCAATGCTGTAGTGAGAAGAATATTGAGTCCTTGATGATGTTCCTATCTCCCTGTGTTATTATAACCCTTGACCCTTGACCCACAGAGCTCTCTTCACAAGCGGCTGGAACAACGTCGAGAAGCAGGTCTACAGCATTCCTGGAGTAAATCCAGACATGATGCGCCTGATCATCGAGTATGCCTACACACGTTCTGTGCCTGTGACTGCAGAGAATGTGGAACCGCTCTTAGCGGCTGCAGACCAGTTCTGCATCCTGGGGATCGTGAGAGCCTGCTGCGACTATCTGGAGGCCCAGCTCTGTCTGCAGAACTGCATCGGCATCTGCAAGTTCGCAGACTTCTACTCCTGCCCTGATCTGCGCCGCCAGGCTTACCTCTTCATCCTGCACCACTTTGAGATGGTGCGTTTCTCTGAGGAGTTCATGGAGCTCTCTCTGGCACAGCTCTGTGACATCATCGAGAAGGATGACCTGAATGTAAAGCAGGAGGATGTTGTGTTTGAGGCGGTCCTACGCTGGATCAACCACTCGCCTCAGGACCGCAAGGCCCACGTCTCTGTGCTGCTGCCCAAGGTGAGAGGTGGACAATAGTGTCAATGTTTTACTGCTGGATAACTTTTGTAAGTTTGGGTGTTGTGCTAGTCAACTGCTAACCACAAGTCTGTCTGTCTGTGTGCTTAGGTCCGCATGGCCTTGATGACAGCCGACTACTTCATGAACAACGTGAAGAACAATACCCTGGTGAAGGACAATGATGACTGCAAGCCCATCATCATCAGTGCCCTGAAGGCCATGTACGACCTGAACATGAACGGGCCCTCCAACACTGACTTCCGCAACCCTCTGACCCGCCCTCGCCTGCCTTATGCCATCCTATTGGCCATTGGTGGCTGGAGTGGTGGCAGTCCCACCAATGGCATTGAGGCGTATGATGCGCGGGCTGACCGGTGGGTGAATGTGACCCGGGAGGAGGAGAGCCCTCGAGCATACCATGGAGCTGCTTACCTCAATGGCTTTGTCTACTGTGTGGGTGGCTTTGACAGAGTTGACTACTTTAACAGTGTACGTAAGTTCAACCCTGTCACACGGACCTGGCACCAGGTGGCCCCCATGCACTCACGGCGCTGCTACGTCAGTGTGGCGGTGCTGGATGGCTGTATCTATGCCATGGGTGGCTTTGATGGCTACGTACGACTGAACACCGCTGAGTGCTATGAGCCTGAGACTAACCAGTGGACCCTGATTGCACCCATGCATGAGCAGAGGAGTGATGCCAGTGCTACCACACTACATGGCAAGGTGAGTGGAACAGAGGGACCTGGGACACAACACAACTAGACCACAATTAATCTGAGAAAACTTCATGATAGATGATTACTTTTGATGATAAAATGTTGACATGGTATTTTCTGTAGGTGTACATCTGTGGTGGTTTCAATGGGAATGAGTGCTTGTTCACAGCAGAGAGCTACAGCCCCCAGACCAACCAGTGGACTCTGACTGCCCCCATGAGAAGCAGGCGCAGTGGTGTGGGGGTCATCGCCTATGCGGAGCAGGTCTATGCTGTGAGCAGAACATTCATATGCAGTACATGCACAATGCATTTTAACGCCTTATTGAGGAAGAGCTGAAAGTTGAGAAATATTTGACTCAAGTTTCCTCTGTCCTCTCCCAGGTGGGCGGCTTCGATGGGGCTAACCGCCTGCGTAACGCTGAGGCCTACAACCCGCTGACCAACACATGGCGCACGGTGCCCACCATGTTCAACCCGCGCAGCAACTTTGGCATCGAGGTGGTGGACGACCTCCTGTTCGTGGTGGGGGGCTTCAACGGCTTCACCACTACCTTCAACGTGGAGTGCTATGACGAGAAAACAGAGGAGTGGTACGACGCCCATGACATGGGCATCTTCCGCAGTGCCCTCAGCTGCTGCGTGGTGCACGGGCTGCCCAATGTGGCCCAGTACGCAGCCCCCCGGGACTCCCTCCAGTCCCCCCGGGAAGAGCTGATGCTCTCCGCCTCCAACAGCATCCTCTCTGTGTGACACCCCCTCCCCGCCCCACCGTTACCCCCTCCTGCCCACTGTATTCCATCTACCACAAGGCATTTACCATGCGCAAATAAATCCACTACTGTACGTCCCAGAGGAAATCCCATATGCATACAGTGCTATGAAAAAGTATTTGCCCCCTTTCTAATTTTCTCTACTTTTGCATATTTGTGATACTGAATGTTATCAGATCTTCAACCAAAACCTAATATTAGATAAAGGGAACATAAGTGAACAAATAAAATCCTGTAGTTGTTGATCAGTCTCTCACGTCGCTGTGGAGGAATTCTGGCCCACTCTTCCATGCAGAACTGCTTTAACTCAGTGACGTGTGGGTTTTCAAGCATGAACTGCTCGTTTCAAGTCCTGCCACAACATCTCAATTGGGATTAGGTCTGGACTTTGACTAGGCCATTCCAAAACTTCCAATTTGTTGCTTTTTAGCAATTTCCATGTAGACTTGATTGTGTGTTTTGGATCATTGTCTTGCTGCATGACCCAGCTGCGCTTCAGCTTCAGCTCACAGACGGATGGTTTGACATTCTCCTGTAGAATTCTCTGATACAGAGCAGAATTCATGGTTCCTTCTATTAAGGCAAGTCGTCCAGGTCAATGTTTTTACATTTTTACATTTTTAGTCATTTAGCAGACGCTCTTATCCAGAGCGACTTACAGTTAGTGAACACATTTTTTTTTTTTTATACTGGCCCCCCGTGGGAATCGAACCCACAATCCTGGCGTTGCAAACGCCATGCTCTATCAACTGAGCTACATCCCTGCCGGCCATTCCCTCCCCTACCCTGGACGACGCTGGGCCAATTGTGCACCGCCCATGAGTCTCCCGGTCGCGGCCGGCTGCGACAGAGCCTGGATTCGAACCAGGATCTCTAGTGGCACAGTTAGCACTGCGATGCAGTGCCTTAGACCACTGCGCCACTCAGGAGTACAGGTCCATTTCTTATTGCATCTGCCAGGGTGATTGTACTACTATTTTCCTTCCGTTAGTAGAAGGGAAGATTGAATGTACTGAATTTGTTACTGTGGTTGGCTCATGCCCAATGACTGTGCATAGTACTGCCCTTCTGTTTGATGTACATATGTATGTATGTAGCTTTGTTCCATAGAGAATGAGAGGCCTCTAGTGGCCAAAAGGCTGTTTTAGCATGGGCAGGTTCATTGAGGGCTTCCAACATTTTAATGTAGTCAACTGGGTGGGACTTCCAACTTTATTGGCTAATCCCTCATGGTCATCAGGAGGGATCAGCCAATTGTGAAGAAGAAAATTGACTTCTTAAAAATGGAGATGACACTGCCCTCACAGATGCCATAATGGGAACTATATAGGGATGCTTTCTCTATCATTCTCTATGCTTTGTTCTAAAAAACAGGAGGTTGTCAAGTTGGAGGAAATTCCACCCAAGGAAAATACAGATGTTTATAGAGCTAGTCTTGAAAAATGCGTAATAATATTGGCCAAAATGACATTTAGAATTTAGATAACCCCTTACACAAGATAGATGGGAAACCAAGGTTATATAAAAAAAACTGACATTTTAATTGCAAGTGATGACATCAGCATTTGTTTTACATCCAATATATTGACACAATGTCAGACTGCCACATGCAAAGCAAAATATATATAGCCTACATATGTCAATAATATTATTTCAAATGCTATGCAAGAAGAACAAAGCTGAGGAAATACACTTTCATTGCATTCTCAAAATTATAGTGCTTTATGTTATAAATAAGCTTCAGGGATAGTGTTTATAACAATCAATGAACTCTTGAACTCAATGGCCACACATTCACCTTGATATGGTCATTCTGCTCAGTAACATAAGGATACCCTCTATAGTCTATATCAGTGGTTCCCAACCTTTTTTGGTTACCTTACCACCAACTGAATTTTGCTCTGCCCGGAGTACCCCTGAAGTACCCCCTCATGTGCATTTGACCAGTAACCCTATGGACACAAGTCTTTTCAAGTACCCACTGTGGATAGGCCAAGTACCCCCAGGGGTTATAGTACTCCTGGTTGGGAACCACTGGTCTATACATCTCATCTGATTATCTTTGGAGGGTGAGGAGAACATACAACAATCTGGCAGGATCTCTAAGATACACACCCGAATAAGCCTGAGGTACAGCAATGGGGCTGCCTCACATTTTACATCACATTCCTTTTGGATTACTAAGCAAATCACTGTAGAGTACATCTTTTCTCACATGGGAACAGAATAGATTATCAGCTGGAGTTGGATTAAATGATACATTAAAATTAAAAAATACAATCGCCCAAATCTGAAGTCAAATATGACAGTTAAACCCACTCGGACTAAAATATTTGTCAATAACTCAAACTCGACATTAAACTGATTAAGGGTAGAAAAGTGCACTACTTGGCAAGCTTTTCCCAGCATTCATTACCGTACGCACAGATATGCATATACACGTTATCAAGTCCTCCATCTGAACTACACCCTCTAGCCATTACACTCAATAAAACCAATGCAGACAAAATAAGAGAAAGATTCATAAACTCCCACCTAGGGCCTTCTACACAATGTTCCTACCAACAGGAATGAGATGAGCAGAAGACTGAAGAATAATCAAATGGAATGGTTGATGGAATTTCAAATGATCAATGGAATGTTACCATGTTAAGACTGTTTCATTAGGATACCGGTCAGAAACACAGACAAGGACGATTTTCCACAAGACTGAGACATGCAGACGGATGGGTGCACGAGTCTAATTAAGAGATTGGGGATGGATGAATGAACTCTCTCCATCTGTCTCAGACTCCCACCATCTCCATTCTCCTTTCCAACTTCCTTTCTTTCTAACTGATGCCACATGGGCGATTTCTCTCGACTCTCTGCACTGACTGCTCAAAGAAATACACTATCGATCATCAGTAATAAGACAGAAAACATTAGGAGCAACCAGGGGAGGAGAGAAGTCTATTTTACTGCGCTCCATTATGCAATCAGGGAAAAGCCACAGCTCACCTAGTAGATAGTGATGGTAATTATCACTAATTAAGTCGTCCACTTGATTGGACCATAGATCTGATAATAAATATGAATAAAACTATTCTCCTTCCATTCAAGTTGACCTACTGTATCAAAGCTATAATAACAACAAGCAGAGCCATTCAGATAAAGCTACTATAAACCACAGCAAAGCCATCAGGCATTGGTAAGGGTTTGGTCCGACTGATTGGTAGGGCCGGGATGACACCAGTATCGCCATCATTTTTCCATGACATAAATGAAAACACGAAGCAGACCAAACTCTTTGGTCCTTTAAAAATCTGCTGTATGTAAAATATTGTGTGCTATAGCTTGGAAAACACGTGTGACTCTGGATGACAACATAATGATGTTTGTTTCCAACATTAGGACTGTTTTCCTAAAGAAGTTAAATCTGCTTAGTGTTACGTTTACTTGCCACGATACTAACGAGTATCGCGATACTGGTATTGTGCCGACCCTACGGCTGGGCAGATTGTGTGTGTGTGTGATATTTGCATGGAGAGACTGTCACAGTGTCCTGATGGAATGTCATAGAGAGTGACTGACTTCACTAAGCACATTGGATTGGAGGAATGTAGTGTCACATTGCCTACTTCATATAAGCATTTTACATTTTAGTCATTTAGCAGACGCTCTTATCCAGAGCGACTTACAGTTAGTGAGTGCATACATTTTCCATAAAAGCATAAAAGAAGGGGGACATAAAATATTTATATATAATAAGTATACATATACAACTATATACTATATGTACGTACAAAAAGATAAAACATCCCTTGTGTCTGACGTACAAACGTGGTGTAGTCGGATGTTGGTCACTGTACAACACTCTATTCACATTTGTAACATTCGGCCTGTCCTCTCCACATAGACAAACACCTGGCCAGCACAGGGTCACATCACTCCCACATCTCCCAGCCTTGAACACCGTAGTCACTACTAACACCATAGTCTCAACCTGATGATCTGGCACAGAGTTCACTTAAAAAAAGAACCAACATGAGAGCAACATAGGAGCCACTGCTACAGCAGGTTATGGGTGGGGGCTGATGACGATGGCTGCCAGGGGATGTTTGGGGTTTGGAGTTGGGCCGGGCCAGGCTGCTCCCCCTCTGGGGTAGTTGTGATGGACATACAGGGGTTGAGTTAGTTCAGCACTCGATCTGAGACTGCAGCTGCCTGCGCAGGGTGAGGGTGCGCCGGTGGAGCTGCTGCATCTGCTGCATGCGGTCCCGCTGGCGGGCCAGGTTCTGGGGCATAGGGTAGCGCTGGCAGCCGTACAGGAAGCGGTAGGGGATGCGTACGTGGCAGGCGGTGGCGCGGCAGCGTGGCTGGGGCATGGGCGGCAGCAACATCCAGCGCTTCCTCTCGGCACAGTAGCGGTAGGCCTCTTTCCGGTACTGCTTGTCCACGTCGTCGCTATTCTTCCAGCCGCCGATCACAAACACGTCCTCGTCGAAGTGGCAGATGGCGGCGCCCTCGATGCTGGTGACCTCGGGCGGCAGGCTCTCCAGGATCTCGTCTGAGATGTGGGCGCTGATCTTCTGCTTGGCGTCTTCGTCCCGCACCGTGTAGCTCTTAGGGCAGCAGGAGGCTGTGTGGTAGAAGTTGGTGGAGGCCACGGCCATCTGGAACACACAGTAGTTGTCTATGAGCGGCAGGGAGTCCACGTCCTGCCACTGACGGCTCTCTGTGTCGTAACGCGTGGTGACCGTCTTCAGCCCGTCCTCGTTGTCCGTGTCCACCGGCGTGCGCGCCATCACGTATACATAACGGTCCTCCACACTCACCGCCTTCACGTCCCGCAGGATCTTGGGCGCTGACTCCAGGTTGTGCCACTTGTCCGGCTCAGGCTCGTACACGCTCACGTCCTTGAAGCCCGGGCTGAAGTTGCCGTGGCCACCGATGCTATACAGGATGTCTTTGATACAGGTGAGACCAAAGGAGTGTTTACGTGTGGTCAGGTTGCTCACCTGTTCCCAGGTGTTGCGGTTGGGATTGTAGCGCTCCACGGTCTTGGCGAAGCCTGGTTCCATGGAGCCCGCTACGTAGACGTGGGACTCTGTGGTGGCGATGGCGTGGCCATCCAGGTGGTTGTGGATGTGGGGCAGGTTGACCCAGCGGTCTTCGTAGATGAAGTAGCCCACACATTCACTCAGGTAGTCACCGCCCTCTGACACCCCGCCCACCACCATGATCACGTCCATGTTCTGGCCAAAGCGCGGCTGGAAGGAGGCCATGTAGGACGACCAGAACTCCAGGTCAGCTGACTTGAGGTTCTCACAGCGGATGGCGTGGCCCTCCACGGCATCGGACACCAGACGGAGACAGGCCTCGTTGGCCGCCACCAGTGCCTCATTCTTCACCACGCGCGTCAGATAGGTGGGCTTAATCTGGGGTAGCCGGAGGATACGGAACAACTCCTCAAAGTACCTCCCCCGCTGTTCTGTGTTCCTCTGGACCCACTTCACCACAGCCTCAAACAACACCTCTTCCGCGTCCACGGTGATCTCTGCGTCAGACAGCCAGTCCCTCACCAGGTGGAAGGGCAGGGTGTAGAACTCCTCATCCTGGATGACCTTGTGGAAATTGCGTCGGATCATGTCTGCGGCCCGCAGAGCCAGCTGGTCCAGGGTGTACATGTGGGCTAGGCTGTGCACGGCCACACAGTTGGCCAGGCTCAGCTTCTTCTTCAAGAACTCCCCACAGAAGTCCTTCAGATGCAACAGCAGGAACCTGCAGCCAAACACACAATCAATAACAGAACAGGAAAAAAATAAACATGACACCCATGAACTCACTACACTCAAGTTCAGGTTTGACAGGTTACAGGATGGTCAGTGCTATCTGGGATCTATGGGACGTTCCGATCCTAAACGCTAACCTCAAGCCCTACCTAACCTTAACCCTTACCAATATACTTCAGTGGCACCTCCAGTAAGCCAAAACAACAATATTATATCACTGAACTACATACAAAATATTCAAGTACTAGCAAGTGGCGATTAAATGGATTATGCACATTAAAGGAACACTAATGTAAATTGAAAACAAACCTGTCCGCAAGCTCCAACACTTCATGCACATTGCAGGTGCTCACACGTATTTCTCCCGTGTACATGTACTGAATGACGCTCTCCACCGTCTCCGGGTCTGGTCCCAATTCAGCGCTCCATTCCTTCATCTCAACCCGACCCGACAGCGACTCGGAGAACTGCCCTCCCAGCAACGGGGTGAAATAGTCCGTAGCCGCGGCCAGTACAGAACGGTGAGCAGAAAACTCACAGCTCTGAACATTCCCGGTTGCCACCCCACTGCTGAAGGCCAGCGTCACGTCACAGAACAATCCCTGCTTCCTCTGTTCGTTCTGCCGCCGAGACAGCTCTGTGCAGTGGGAGGAGGAGGTGAAATCCTCGCCCTCTTCCGTGTCCCCGTCCCCGACAATGACGCTGGGCGTGCTGCTACCGCTACTACCCCGGCTAGAGTCGTCTGGGTTCGGGGCTGCAGCTGCCATTCTGGCGGTGGTTGTGAGAATTCGGAACTGCAGTAAACTCGTGTGGTAAAGAACACACACGCAGACACACATACATACACTCAAAACACAGACGGAATGACTGACATGCGCAGTGGATGCAAGGCGTTACTGCTCGGCGTGTGACGTAAAGCCCCGCCCACTCACTTGTGGCTGACAGGATAAGCTTTTGTGCTTGTTCCACCTCAGCGTTCTCTGCCAAAGTAGGGTAACATCAATTCACCTTCTATGAGTGGGTGTCTTTGAATGAACTGAATGGAAGCTACATATAGATGGTTCCATTCATTTAAATATTTTCATGTGATGGATGTTCTTTCTTATATAAGGGCAAGGCCAGTACATAGTCCCACTCTGTTACATAAGTGAGTAATCACTTTGCCATGAATGTACAGAAATGACAGCCCCAGAGCACATAGAACAGGTGGACTGAGGTCTGAAGAATAGGCTCTATAGTAGTCTAGTAGACCTACATGATCTTACACATATACACTGGCTGTTTGAGAAAACGAAGAATTGAGCCCTAATAGCTCACTACATCATTTCATCTGTTGTTATTGGATATGATATAATAAATTAATCTATTTTTAAACCAATGACTTAATAAACTGATGGATGGAGCATGACACAGTGAAACAATTAAATGCTGATTATATACCACATTACTTTTATGATCCGCAACACTGGAAGAACCAGACAGAGTTGTGTTCCAATAGGTCATCTTTAATATACTCAGTCACACCGTTCTGAAAATATATTAAAACCCATCTCTACAGAGGCACGTTCAGTTCACATCACATTAGGTCAAACAAAGTTAAAAAATTGTGATGACATGACAACACAAATAGTACAGACAGATACATCTTTCGAGAAATAGCCGGTCACAATGGATCTGGTCTAGCTAGTAACATTCAGATAAATAATGCTGCATTCTATGGTCCCTTTGCCATCCTGGGCACCGTCCTGGTTGGGACACAGGAAGAGCTTTTCTCTGTATTACAGCCCAATGTTCTTGGTCAGCGGCATATCTTACGGTTTAAACACAACCGCTTCATGGGCATTTACAGTACATCAAAAATGCTGATACTATCTATTACATTCTTATTACATTTATTTAGTCCGCTGTTAATACATCTATACATAAATAAAGCATATGATTTTAATATGGCACCGACACGCTCAAGAAAGAGAATTGAACAGCGACACACAGGAACAGTCTGTTATACACAGACACATGCTTGGTTTACGGAGAGAGATGATAGTGGGAGATACAGTCTCAACGTACTTCACTGTAGTCATAGGAGTAGTATAGTAGTAGTAGTAATAGCAGTAGTATTGGCAGTAAACAGGAAGACAATCATCTGTATCCCTAGAGGTAATCTTGGGAAGAGTTGAATTGGATGAATTGCATTCCCCAAACTATAGGGTTAAGGGTCAATCAATGAATGAGGCTCATTTCTCATTCTCTGCAGCTTGCTTGGTCTCTCTAGACACCCTGTCTGAATGCGGCTTCACAGTTTTGCAGGCCTTGCTATTATTAACGGGGTTGCAGCATGTTTGATCAGCTAACTGATAAAAAAAAAACTAAAACTGTATTAATTTTAAAAGGGTTGTCCTTATTACTGTTGCAAAGCCACATCAATAATAATATCAGTCCCCATTTTTTTCTCTCCCACCACTTGGGGCTGACAGAACACAGTACAGGTGGGGGTGGAGGTTAGGGTGCGGTGGTGGGGTAACTGGTTGGGTATGGGGGGGGTCCATGGCCTGGTTTCCATGGTTACATGGACATGTGTTCGGGGAGAACGTAGGATATGTCGTCCCACGGGTGACGGTACAGACCCTGTTTCAGCCTCTTCTGATCCAGGTAGTGTCCTGAGGGAGAAGTAGAACTATAGCTTTAGGTATGGTTCCAATTTTATCAATATCATATTCCGTATCCCCTGATCCTTACACCACAGCCCCTTCCCATGACCATTTCTAGGGGTCAAACTCATCAGGGTCATGACCCCTGACCCCCGACTTACCGATGAAGCCCATGCTCCGCCCCAGGACAAAGATTCCATTCAGCGCTCCGATCTCCACAAACTCATCAGCCTCGTCCCTGGGGGGGGGGACAAACATCAGGGGGCAATGGTGAGTTAATGCAACACTGAATGTAGGCTAAGGACAACAAAAGGGAAAGCCGGCTGACCCAGACACAGTAGTATAGTTGCAATGTACAGAATGTAATTGACTGGAGTTTAATAGCATTAGCTAGCTAGCCTACCGTGTAAATCCACCACAGTTCCTGAGCAGGTCCACAAATGCTACTCCAATGAAACCGTCCACATTCAAGATCAGGTTGGGTTTCTGAAACCGCAGCAGAGACATGGTTTAGAACAGATGATCCCAGTAGGGTGATAAAGGCTGCAGGAGAGGATGACAGAGTTAGTACCTTGGCTGTGGTGATCTTCTCTACATCCATTGCGTAGTCCAACAGCTGGGTGGAGGGGAAGGTCTTCTTCACAAAGTCCTTTAGGATCTGCACCCGCATGTCTGGGTTGTTGATCTGAAACACAGACACAGACACACACACAAAGTACTTGCACAGTGAAAAACATGAAGGACACATGGCATCCAAAAAGGAGACACAGGGACAGTGCTCACCGACTTGACCCTGTGTCCGATGCCCATGATCAGGTTGCCCTCCTTCTTCATCTTATTGACAAACTCCATTGGCAGCATGCCGCTGTCAAACGCCTTGCTGAACTGCTTGGCTGCAGCGTCCAGGGCCCCTCCGAACCGGTCCCCCTGGAAATCACACACACAGAAAGAAACTCTCAAATAGGAGACACACTTCGACTACAAAAGCTCAATTAATTATTTATTTAAACAGAGGCATTGTCTTCAGAAGAGGCTCCTCTGCTGGTTTGAGTGGGTCTAAGTATGTAGAGGTTGACTTGACTACGGTCTTACGATGGTGAGCAGGCCAGAGGTGAGGCAGGAGATAAGGTCTTTGCCAGCGCGGGCACAGACGATGGTGTTGTGGGCACCAGACACGGCAGGACCATGGTCAGCAGTCACCATCAGACACATCTCAATGAACTTGGAAGCATAACTGGGCAGCCTTGGGGCAAGGAGGAGGCAGGACACAGAGACATAGAATTGTAATTTAATTCAATTATGATAGAGTATGTTTAATGTTTTATGTGAACAGTATTTGTATTATTATTATTGAGCGTTTTGGGGGATAGAAGCGTACCTCCTCTGGAACCAGAGCAGTCCCAGGGTTCCTCCCATGCCCATCTCTGACTTGAACACCTCAGTGATGGGCATTCCAGCGTAGATAAGCTCCTGGCCCCTCTCATCACAGATACTGGTCATAAAGGAGGCTGGCTTACGGATCAGACCCAACTCCTACAGCACAGATGGTTAGAGAGAGGGGGAGAGAGAGAGAGTCACCGTACCCTCTTATTGCTCTCCATCTGTTTCAGTTTAACACAGTCTGATGCGGTTCGGTGAAGTTTGCCTTATATGGAAGCCGATAGCATTGTCCAGAGCCAATAAGAGATCCTGATTCACCGTTAACTCACAGGGGACATGTGCCAGCATGGCACTGACTGGTTGGCATTACTCACCCGGGCCCAGGAGTAGTCCATTGGCACTGTGGGAGGGGGCACCTCCATAGCTGGAACGATGACTCCTTTGCCAACGAGGTCGTCATACACTGATCTGTACATGAAGATGGGAAAGTTCAATTTCACAACAGTGCTTTTGTACGTTTACTAAACAGTCAATTTTATGTTGTGGCTTGGATGTAATGTTTTTCTAATCATATCATTGTGTGATTTTCTGCACTGACTTGATGACATCTCCCAGCTCGTCAAAGCTCTTAGGTACGAAGGCTCCGGCCTCCTTCAGAGCCAGGTTCTTGGCCACGGCTGTCTCTGAGGCCTGGTTGGCACACGCTCCAGCATGACCAAACTGGACCTACAGGTGACAGACTGGGTCAGCATATCATAGGAAACAGTCACAAACCCCATAACCAGACCCCTTTCTCACAGTATGCCTGCCCTGCAAGTCTCTGTGATATCAATCCAATGACCCACCCCCCCAAAACTCTTCACGCTGCCCATCACACTCACCTCTGAGGAGAACATGGTGGCACAGGTCCCGATGCACCAGCTCACCACAGGCTTGGTGATCCTGCCTGACTTGATGCCCTGGCAGATCTTATACTCCTCTGTGCCGCCAATCTAGAAGGGAGACCAACAGTGCTTTTAAAAGACAGTCCACACTCACATTTGCAGAGGCGAGCATCCAAGCATGGAATTAATCTGGTCATAAATGTCTATGTTAATTAGCTATGCTTGATGAAAAGAAATGGATTGCGTTAAAAGGATAAGCTTTCTTTTTCTATGGGCCATTAGCAGCAGTGATGTAGATGTGTGTGTCTTTCAGATCCTCACCTCTCCCAGCATTACGATCATCTCTACCCCTGGGGTGTCCTGGTACCTCAGCACATGGTCTGTGTAGATTGAGCCTGGGTATCTAATGAAAAAATAAGCATTAATTATACACACACATCAGTAATCTTATCCACCCCATTCACACAGCCACTCTCTTACCTGTCTCCTCCTATTGCCACTCCCTCGTAGACTCCGTCGGTGGTGCGGGAGATGATGTTGTTGAGCTCGTTGGACATGCCTCCAGAGCGGGACACGTAGGCCACACTGCCTGGACGGTACAGCTTAGAGGCCAGGATGTTATCCAGCATGCCCCCTGTGTTCCCGATCTTAAAACAGCCAGGCTTGATCCCTCCAACCTGGACACACAGTTAGATAAGACACTCTTCTCTACACCTTTAAAGCAGACCTCACATACTGTAAGTGAGGGGGTAGAGTAGGAGGGGCCTACCGTTGCCGGGCCGATGATAGTGATACCCTTCTCGTCCGCCCTCTTAATGATCTTCCTGGTCTGGGCTTCAGGGATGCCCTCGGCTATGATGGCAATGGTGTGGATCTGGAGAGGTGGGGAAATGAAGCATTACAGTCGGTCAGATCTATTGCGCTCTCACCATTATGGATGGCATGGAGGCGCTACCAACCTGTGGGTACTGCATGGTCTCCATGGTGCTGTCGAAGGCAGAGCGGAGCGAGGCGAAGTTAATGAGCACGTCCACCTCCGGGTGTTTCTTCATGGCGTCGCCCATGTTCTTATAGACAGGCAACAGGATCTCCTTATGGCCCCAGTAGAACTTCTGCTTGTGGTCCCCACTGGAACACACAGACAGTCACAAAGTTTGGCATCGAAAGACAAACCAGACAAATAGATAAGCACACGCACGGTATTGACCATAAATATGCTTGTTATTTTCAACACCTCTTTGTGGTCTCGGGTTAGTTAGAGTGGTATACAGGAAACAGGAAGTAGAGAGACAGGAAGTAAAGAAAGAGACACCTACGTGAAAGGGTAGAGCATGGCAGACACAGAGGGCTCATCCCTGGAGCAGGTGTAGTCAAAGTCCAGCATGCCCTGCACGGCCCGCGTCTGCATGCCCCACACGATGGACTTGGTCTGCTTGCTGAAGAGGGTTGACGCCTTGACTGCAGGGACAGGAACACACAGGGGACAAGGAAGAGAGAGGGAAAGGAGGAAAGATGGAGGGAGAAAGATGGAGGGGAAGGTTAACTACAAAATACAAAGTCACTCAGGCAATGAACAGAGGTTTGGCATGCACACGCACTTACGTAGAGGGAGAAAAAAATAGCTTGATCTTCTTACTACCGCACCAGCAGAGAAAGGGCTTTTAACTCACTACAGAGAGGTATGAGCTTTAAAGAAGTCATATCCTACTCTGCTAAGAGGTGTGATAGACCAGGGCACACAACATCAACAGAACAGACACACGGCAGGGTAAACAGTTACTAGACAGTGAAGGAACCAAACACTGACAGCCAGCCGCTGACTGAGACACAACCCACAGGAAACCACAGGGGTTAGTGAGACAGAAACTGAACCCACAACCATCCAAAACAACATGTTATCACTGTATATTTCTGGATGTCAGATATTCCCCTCTAAGGACTACAAATGTGATCAGAAATGTAGTTGTCTATACGTCAATATTGTCCTAGTTGTTCCCATGTCACCCTTAGAACACCATAGAAATAGAAGCTACTTCTAGCATGAGAGAGGAGAGGACAGGAGCACACGGCCCAGCTCGAGGGCTTCACAGGGGGGCTAGGAGGAGAGCCATGTCCCAGGCCCACCCTAGTCCGTCTGTCTGACAGGGGAGTGTCCTACCTCCTGGACTGTCTGACGACGCCTGTCGCGCTGTGGCGCCACGACAATAACAAAAACAGAAACAATATAATCAATGTTATTACATTCAGAATGTGCGTAGATAATACCCTCCAAAAGGGAAAGCTTTTCACAACAGATGCTGGGCTGATGTGGGCTGTGAGACCCCTAATGGCCACTAGGGGGAGCGGTGACACAGAAACTCACATTTTATGAGAGCAGGGGCTCTCAAGGAAGCCTCTTGCTCCCAGGGTTGGGGTCAATTCCATTTCAATTCTAGTCAAATCAGAAAATAAACAAAATTCCAATTCTACATTTTCTTAATTAAAAAGCATTGAAGAGAATTGTAATTTTAGTGTACTTCCTGAATTGACTGGAATTTAAATTGAATTGACCCCAACCCTGCTTGCTACACTGCATTACAGCAAACGTGGCAAGACTTTTACATAACTACCTGAGAAGCATCATTCTTACATTTCACATGTTTGTATGTGTGTGTGGTCTCATTGAGGAGCTCACCTGGAAGGGCCCCTGACTTGGCCTTCTTGGAAGGCGAGGCCCCGGGACCAGCCTTGTTCTCAGAGAAGGAGGCTGTCCTGCTGGAGGCTGGGGTCTGGAGAGGACAGAGGAGAGAGAAGAGAGGGAAGACAGGAGAGAGGAGAAGAGGTGTAACATTCTGTTGAAGAGCTTAATCATGTTAACTCCAGCCCTGATGCACACATGCCTTCATAGAATAGCCTTGATTTTAATGACTTGCCTAAAAACGGTCATGTTTTATTTGTAACAGCGCCACATTACCTGCATAGAGAGAGCATGGTGCAGCACATTCTTCGTCTCGGGCTGGCAAACCGTGCCAATATATCCTCCTAACACCGGCTTCGAGGGCATTATCACTTTTATACAACGGGTTACCAACATATTCAAATAATGATTGACATCTTTCATTAAAAGCTTTATTTTGATTAATCTATTCATACTATTTCATCCTTCCACAAGATATAGTCCCGACACAATCTAGGGTTGCTAGAGGCGACCCAGTCATTAAGTATTTTTGTTCTGTTTCTATGACTGTAAATTAGCCGTAGTTGGCTGGCCAGTCGTTCGTTCTAAATGTTCCATTGCCATACTGGCTGGAAACGTTCTTATCCCTTGCTTGCTAGCTAGCCAACTACGGCTAACGTACAGTCATGTCAAAAAGTGCAGCCAGAATGACAGCAAAGTAGCTTTTGTTTAAGCTGTTTTCTAGTGACATTTATTTGGATACATCCATAACAATGAGCTAACGAGGTGCGATTTCGCCTGGCATAGAAAATGTGCTCACTCGTCAGGACACTGTTGTTCAGAGGAGCTAGCCAACAACACAGCTACCAGGGGGTTCAACGGCTTCACCACTACCTTCAACGTGGAGTGCTATGACGAAAAATCAGAGGAGTGGTACGACGCCCATGACATGGGCATCTTCCGCAGTGCCCTCAGCTGCTGCGTGGTGCACGGGCTGCCCAATGTTGCCCAGTACGCAGCCCCCCGGGACTCCCTCCAGTCCCCCCGGGAAGAGCTGATGCTCTCCGCCTCCAACAGCATCCTCTCTGTGTGACACCCCCTCCTGCCCACTGTATTCTATCTACCACAAGGCATTTACCATGCGCAAATAAATCCACTACTGTACGTCCCAGAGGAAATCCCATATGCATACAGTGCTATGAAAAAGTATTTGCCCCCTTTCTAATTTTCTCTACTTTTGCATATTTGTGATACTGAATGTTATCATATCTTCAACCAAAACATAATATTAGATAAAGGGAACATAAGTGAACAAATAACACAACAATTGCATATTTATTTCATAAACAAAGTTATGCAACACCCAATTCCCCTGTGTGAAAAAGTAATTGCCCCTTACACTCAATAACTGGTTGTGCCACATTTAGCTGCAATGACTCCAACCAAATGCTTCCTGTAGTTGTTGATCAGTCTCTCACGTCGCTGTGGAGGAATTCTGGCCCACTCTTCCATGCAGAACTGCTTTAACTCAGTGACGTGTGGGTTTTCAAGCATGAACTGCTCGTTTCAAGTCCTGCCACAACATCTCAATTGGGATTAGGTCTGGACTTTGACTAGGCCATTCCAAAACTTCCAATTTGTTGCTTTTTAGCAATTTCCATGTAGACTTGATTGTGTGTTTTGGATCATTGTCTTGCTGCATGACCCAGCTGCGCTTCAGCTTCAGCTCACAGACGGATGGTTTGACATTCTCCTGTAGAATTCTCTGATACAGAGCAGAATTCATGGTTCCTTCTATTAAGGCAAGTCGTCCAGGTCCATTTCTTATTGCATCTGCCAGGGTGATTGTACTATTATTTTCCTTCCGTTAGTAGAAGGGAAGATTGAATGTACTGAATTTGTTACTGTGGTTGGCTCATGCCCAATGACTGTGCATAGTACTGCCCTTCTGTTTGATGTACATATGTATGTATGTAGCTTTGTTCCATAGATAATGATAGAGGCCTCTAGTGGCCAAAAGGCTGTTTTAGAATGGGCAGGTTAATTGAGGGCTTCCAAAATTTTAATGTAGTCAACTGGGTGGGACTTCCAACTTTATTGGCTAATCCCTCATGGTCATCAGGAGGGATCAGCCAATTGTGAAGAAGAAAATGGACTTCTTAAAAATGGAGATGACACTGCCCTCACAGATGCCATAATGAGAACTATATAGGGATGCTTTCTCTATCATTCTCTATGCTTTGTTCTAAAAAACAGGAGGTTGTCAAGTTGGAGGAAATTCCACCCAAGGAAAATACAGATGTTTATAGAGCTAGTCTTGAAAAATGCGTAATAATATTGGCCAAAATGACATTTAGAATTTAGATAACCCCTTACACAAGATAGATGGGAAACCAAGGTTATATAAAAAAACTGACATTTTAATTGCAAGTGATGACATCAGCATTTGTTTTACATCCAATATATTGACACAATGTCAGACTGCCACATGCAAAGCAAAATATATATAGCCTACATATGTCAATAATATTATTTCAAATGCTATGCAAGAAGAACAAAGCTGAGGAAATACACTTTCATTGCATTCTCAAAATTATAGTGCTTTATGTTATAAATAAGCTTCAGGGATAGTGTTTATAACAATCAATGAACTCTTGAACTCAATGGCAACACATTGACCTTGATATGGTCATTCTGCTCAGTAACATAAGGATACCCTCTATAGTCTATATCAGTGGTTCCCAACCTTTTTTGGTTACCTTACCACCAACTGAATTTTGCTCTGCCCGTAGTACCCCTGAAGTACCCCCTCATGTGCATTTTACCAGTAACCCTATGGACACAAGTCTTTTCAAGTACCCACTGTGGATAGGCCAAGTACCCCCAGGGGTTATAGTACTCCTGGTTGGGAACCACTGGTCTATACATCTCATCTGATTATCTTTGGAGGGTGAGGAGAACATACAACAATCTGGCAGGATCTCTAAGATACACACCTGAATAAGCCTGAGGTACAGCAATGGGGCTGCCTCACATTTTACATCACATTCCTTTTGGATTACTAAGCAAATCACTGTAGAGTACAGCTTTTCTCACATGGGAACAGAATAGATTATCAGCTGGAGTTGGATTAAATGATACATTAAAATAAAAAAATACAATCGCCCAAATCTGAAGTCAAATATGACAGTTAAACCCACTCTGACTAAAATATTTGTCAATAACTCAAACTCGACATTAAACTGATTAAGGGTAGAAAAGTGCACTACTTGGCAAGCTTTTCCCAGCATTCATTACCGTACGCACATATATGCATATACACGTTATCAAGTCCTCCATCTGAACTACACCCTCCAGCCATTACACTCAATACAACCAATGCGGACAAAATAAGAGAAACATTCATAAACTCCCACCTAGGGCCTTCTACACAATGTTCCTACCAACAGGAATGAGATGAGCAGAAGACTGAAGAATAATCAAATGGAATGGTTGATGGAATTTGAAATGATCAATGGAATGTTACCATGTTAAGACTGTTTCATTAGGATACCGGTCAGAAACACAGACAAGGACGATTTTCCACAAGACTGAGACATGCAGACGGATGGGTGCACGAGTCTAATTAAGAGATTGGGGATGGATGAATGAACTCTCTCCATCTGTCTCAGACTCCCACCATCTCCATTCTCCTTTCCAACTTCCTTTCTTTCTAACTGATGCCACATGGGCGATTTCTCTCGACTCTCTGCACTGACTGCTCAAAGAAATACACTATCGATCATCAGTAATAAGACAGAAAACATTAGGAGCAACCAGGGGAGGAGAGAAGTCTATTTTACTGCGCTCCATTATGCAATCAGGGAAAAGCCACAGCTCACCTAGTAGATAGTGATGGTAATTATCACTAATTAAGTCGTCCACTTGATTGGACCATAGATCTGATAATAAATATGAATAAAACTATTCTCCTTTCATTCAAGTTGACCTACTGTATCAAAGCTATAATAACAACAAGCAGAGCCATTCAGATAAAGCTACTATAAACCACAGCAAAGCCATCAGGCATTGGTAAGGGTTTGGTCCGACTGATTGGTAGGGCCGGGATGACACCAGTATCGCCATCATTTTTCCATGACATAAATGAAAACACGAAGCAGACCAAACTCTTTGGTCCTTTAAAAATCTGCTGTATGTAAAATATTGTGTGCTATAGCTTGGAAAACACGTGACTCTGGATGACAACATAATGATGTTTGTTTCCAACATTAGGACTGTTTTCCTAAAGAAGTTAAATCTGCTTAGTGTTACGTTTACTTGCCACGATACTAACGAGTATCGCGATACTGGTATTGTGCCGACCCTACGGCTGGGCAGAGTGTGTGTGTGTGTGATATTTGCATGGAGAGACTGTCACAGTGTCCTGATGGAATGTCATAGAGAGCGACTGACTTCACTAAGCACATTGGATTGGAGGAATGTAGTGTCACATTGCCTACTTCATATAAGCATTTTACATTTTAGTCATTTAGCAGACGCTCTTATCCAGAGCGACTTACAGTTAGTGAGTGCATACATTTTCCATAAAAGCATAAAAGAAGGGGGACATAAAATATTTATATATAATAAGTATACATATACAACTATATACTATATGTACGTACAAAAAGATAAAACATCCCTTGTGTCTGACGTACATACGTGGTGTAGTCGGATGTTGGTCACTGTACAACACTCTATTCACATTTGTAACATTCGGCCTGTCCTCTCCACATAGACAAACACCTGGCCAGCACAGGGTCACATCACTCCCACATCTCCCAGCCTTGAACACCGTAGTCACTACTAACACCATAGTCTCAACCTGATGATCTGGCACAGAGTTCACTTAAAAAAAGAACCAACATGAGAGCAACATAGGAGCCACTGCTACAGCAGGTTATGGGTGGGGGCTGATGACGATGGCTGCCAGGGGATGTTTGGGGTTTGGAGTTGGGCCGGGCCAGGCTGCTCCCCCTCTGGGGTAGTTGTGATGGACAGACAGGGGTTGAGTTAGTTCAGCACTCGATCTGAGACTGCAGCTGCCTGCGCAGGGTGAGGGTGCGCCGGTGGAGCTGCTGCATCTGCTGCATGCGGTCCCGCTGGCGGGCCAGGTTCTGGGGCATAGGGTAGCGCTGGCAGCCGTACAGGAAGCGGTAGGGGATGCGTACGTGGCAGGCGGTGGCGCGGCAGCGTGGCTGGGGCATGGGCGGCAGCAACATCCAGCGCTTCCTCTCGGCACAGTAGCGGTAGGCCTCTTTCCGGTACTGCTTGTCCACGTCGTCGCTGTTCTTCCAGCCGCCGATCACAAACACGTCCTCGTCGAAGTGGCAGATGGCGGCGCCCTCGATGCTGGTGACCTCGGGCGGCAGGCTCTCCAGGATCTCGTCTGAGATGTGGGCGCTGATCTTCTGCTTGGCGTCTTCGTCCCGCACCGTGTAGCTCTTAGGGCAGCAGGAGGCTGTGTGGTAGAAGTTGGTGGAGGCCACGGCCATCTGGAACACACAGTAGTTGTCTATGAGCGGCAGGGAGTCCACGTCCTGCCACTGACGGCTCTCTGTGTCGTAACGCGTGGTGACCGTCTTCAGCCCGTCCTCGTTGTCCGTGTCCACCGGCGTGCGCGCCATCACGTATACATAACGGTCCTCCACACTCACCGCCTTCACGTCCCGCAGGATCTTGGGCGCTGACTCCAGGTTGTGCCACTTGTCCGGCTCAGGCTCGTACACGCTCACGTCCTTGAAGCCCGGGCTGAAGTTGCCGTGGCCACCGATGCTATACAGGATGTCTTTGATACAGGTGAGACCAAAGGAGTGTTTACGTGTGGTCAGGTTGCTCACCTGTTCCCAGGTGTTGCGGTTGGGATTGTAGCGCTCCACGGTCTTGGCGAAGCCTGGTTCCATGGAGCCCGCTACGTAGACGTGGGACTCTGTGGTGGCGATGGCGTGGCCATCCAGGTGGTTGTGGATGTGGGGCAGGTTGACCCAGCGGTCTTCGTAGATGAAGTAGCCCACACATTCACTCAGGTAGTCACCGCCCTCTGACACCCCGCCCACCACCATGATCACGTCCATGTTCTGGCCAAAGCGCGGCTGGAAGGAGGCCATGTAGGACGACCAGAACTCCAGGTCAGCTGACTTGAGGTTCTCACAGCGGATGGCGTGGCCCTCCACGGCATCGGACACCAGACGGAGACAGGCCTCGTTGGCCGCCACCAGTGCCTCATTCTTCACCACGCGCGTCAGATAGGTGGGCTTAATCTGGGGTAGCCGGAGGATACGGAACAACTCCTCAAAGTACCTCCCCCGCTGTTCTGTGTTCCTCTGGACCCACTTCACCACAGCCTCAAACAACACCTCTTCCGCGTCCACGGTGATCTCTGCGTCAGACAGCCAGTCCCTCACCAGGTGGAAGGGCAGGGTGTAGAACTCCTCATCCTGGATGACCTTGTGGAAATTGCGTCGGATCATGTCTGCGGCCCGCAGAGCCAGCTGGTCCAGGGTGTACATGTGGGCTAGGCTGTGCACGGCCACACAGTTGGCCAGGCTCAGCTTCTTCTTCAAGAACTCCCCACAGAAGTCCTTCAGATGCAGCAGCAGGAACCTGCAGCCAAACACACAATCGATAACAGAACAGGAAAAAAATAAACATGACACCCATGAACTCACTACACTCAAGTTCAGGTTTGACAGTTTACAGGATGGTCAGTGCTATCTGGGATCTATGGGACGTTCCGATCCTAAACGCTAACCTCAAGCCCTACCTAACCTTAACCCTTACCAATATACTTCAGTGGCACCTCCAGTAAGCCAAAACAACAATATTATATCACTGAACTACATACAAAATATTCAAGTACTAGCAAGTGGCGATTAAATGGATTATGCACATTAAAGGAACACTAATGTAAATTGAAAACAAACCTGTCAGCAAGCTCCAACACTTCATGCACATTGCAGGTGCTCACACGTATTTCTCCCGTGTACATGTACTGAATGACGCTCTCCACCGTCTCCGGGTCTGGTCCCAATTCAGCGCTCCATTCCTTCATCTCAACCCGACCCGACAGCGACTCGGAGAACTGCCCTCCCAGCAACGGGGTGAAATAGTCCGTAGCCGCGGCCAGTACAGAACGGTGAGCAGAAAACTCACAGCTCTGAACATTCCCGGTTGCCACCCCACTGCTGAAGGCCAGCGTCACGTCACAGAACAATCCCTGCTTCCTCTGTTCGTTCTGCCGCCGAGACAGCTCTGTGCAGTGGGAGGAGGAGGTGAAATCCTCACCCTCTTCCGTGTCCCCGTCCCCGACAATGACGCTGGGCGTGCTGCTACCGCTACTACCCCGGCTAGAGTCGTCTGGGTTCGGGGCTGCAGCTGCCATTCTGGCGGTGGTTGTGAGAATTCGGAACTGCAGTAAACTCGTGTGGGAAAGAACACACACGCAGACACACATACATACACTCAAAACACAGACGGAATGACTGACATGCGCAGTGGATGCAAGGCGTTACTGCTCGGCGTGTGACGTAAAGCCCCGCCCACTCACTTGTGGCTGACAGGATAAGCTTTTGTGCTTGTTCCACCTCAGCGTTCTCTGCCAAAGTAGGGTAACATCAATTCACCTTCTATGAGTGGGTGTCTTTGAATGAACTGAATGGAAGCTACATATAGATGGTTCCATTCATTTAAATCTTTTCATGTGATGGATGTTCTTTCTTATATAAGGGCAAGGCCAGTACATAGTCCCACTCTGTTACATAAGTGAGTAATCACTTTGCCATGAATGTACAGAAATGACAGCCCCAGAGCACATAGAACAGGTGGACTGAGGTCTGAAGAATAGGCTCTATAGTAGTCTAGTAGACCTACATGATCTTACACATATGCACTGGCTGTTTGAGAAAACGAAGAATTGAGCCCTAATAGCTCACTACATCATTTCATCTGTTGTTATTGGATATGATATCATAAATTAATCTATTTTTAAACCAATGACTTAATAAACTGATGGATGGAGCATGACACAGTGAAACAATTAAATGCTGATTATATACCACATTACTTTTATGATCCGCAACACTGGAAGAACCAGACAGAGTTGTGTTCCAATAGGTCATCTTTAATATACTCAGTCACACCGTTCTGAAAATATATTACAACCCATCTCTACAGAGGCACGTTCAGTTCACATCACATTAGGTCAAACAAAGTTTTAAAAATTGTGATGACATGACAACACAAATAGTACAGACAGATACATCTTTCGAGAAATAGCCGGTCACAATGGATCTGGTCTAGCTAGTAACATTCAGATAAATAATGCTGCATTCTATGGTCCCTTTGCCATCCTGGGCACCGTCCTGGTTGGGACACAGGAAGAGCTTTTCTCTGCTTGGTCAGCGGCATATCTTACGGTTTAAACACAACCGCTTCATGGGCATTTACAGTACATCAAAAATGCTGATACTATCTATTACATTCTTATTACATTTATTTAGTCCGCTGTTAATACATCTATACATAAATAAAGCATATGATTTTAATATGGCACCGACACGCTCAAGAAAGAGAATTGAACAGCGACACACAGGAACAGTCTGTTATACACAGACACATGCTTGGTTTACGGAGAGAGATGATAGTGGGAGATACAGTCTCAACGTACTTCACTATAGGCATAGGAGTAGTATAGTAGTAGTATAGTAGTAGTAGTAACAGCAGTAGTATTGGCAGTAAATGGGAAGACAATCATCTGTACCACTAGAGGTAATCTTGGGAAGAGTTGAATTGGATGAATTGCATTCCCCAAACTATAGGGTTAAGGGTCAATCAATGAATGAGGCTCATTTCTCATTCTCTGCAGCTTGCTTGGTCTCTCTAGACACCCTGTCTGAATGCGGCTTCACAGTTTTGCAGGCCTTGCTATTATTAACGGGGTTGCAGCATGTTTGATCAGCTAACTGATAAAAAAAAAACTAAAACTGTATTAATTTTAAAAGGGTTGTCCTTATTACTGTTGCAAAGCCACATCAATAATAATATCAGTCCCCATTTTTTTCTCTCCCACCACTTGGGGCTGACAGAACACAGTACAGGTGGGGGTGGAGGTTAGGGTGCGGTGGTGGGGTAACTGGTTGGGGTATGGGGGGGGGTCCATGGCCTGGTTTCCATGGTTACATGGACATGTGTTCGGGGAGAACGTAGGATATGTCGTCCCACGGGTGACGGTACAGACCCTGTTTCAGCCTCTTCTGATCCAGGTAGTGTCCTGAGGGAGAAGTAGAAATATAGCTTTAGGTATGGTTCCAATTTTAGCAATATCATATTCCGTATCCCCTGATCCTTACACCACAGCCCCTTCCCATGACAATTTCTAGGGGTCAAACTCATCAGGGTCATGACCCCTGACCCCCGACTTACCGATGAAGCCCATGCTCCGCCCCAGGACAAAGATTCCATTCAGCGCTCCGATCTCCACAAACTCATCAGCCTCGTCCCTGGGGGGGGGACAAACATCAGGGGGCAATGGTGAGTTAATGCAACACTGAATGTAGGCTAAGGACAACAAAAGGGAAAGCCGGCTGACCCAGACACAGTAGTATAGTTGCAATGTACAGAATGTAATTGACTGGAGTTTAATAGCATTAGCTAGCTAGCCTACCGTGTAAATCCACCACAGTTCCTGAGCAGGTCCACAAATGCTACTCCAATGAAACCGTCCACATTCAAGATCAGGTTGGGTTTCTGAAACCGCAGCAGAGACATGGTTTAGAACAGATGATCCCAGTAGGGTGATAAAGGCTGCAGGAGAGGATGACAGGGTTAGTACCTTGGCTGTGGTGATCTTCTCTACATCCATTGCGTAGTCCAACAGCTGGGTGGAGGGGAAGGTCTTCTTCACAAAGTCCTTTAGGATCTGCACCCGCATGTCTGGGTTGTTGATCTGAAAACACAGACACACACACACACACACAAAGTACTTGCACAGTGAAAAACATGAAGGACACATGGCATCCAAAAAGGAGACACAGGGACAGTGCTCACCGACTTGACCCTGTGTCCGATGCCCATGATCAGGTTGCCCTCCTTCTTCATCTTATTGACAAACTCCATTGGCAGCATGCCGCTGTCAAACGCCTTGCTGAACTGCTTGGCTGCAGCGTCCAGGGCCCCTCCGAACCGGTCCCCCTGGAAATCACACACACAGAAAGAAACACTCAAATAGAGACACACTTTGACTACCAAAGCTCAATGAATTATTTATTTAAACAGAGGCATTGTCTTCAGAAGAGGCTCCTCTGCTGGTTTGAGTGGGCCTAAGTATGTAGAGGTTGACTTGACTACGGTCTTACGATGGTGAGCAGGCCAGAGGTGAGGCAGGAGATAAGGTCTTTGCCAGCGCGGGCACAGACGATGGTGTTGTGGGCACCAGACACGGCAGGACCATGGTCAGCAGTCACCATCAGACACATCTCAATGAACTTGGAAGCATAACTGGGCAGCCTTGGGGCAAGGAGGAGGGAGGACACAGAGACATAGAATTGTAATTTAATTCAATTATGATAGAGTATGTTTAATGTTTTATGTGAACAGTATTTGTATTATTATTATTATTATTGAGCGTTTTGGGGGATAGAAGCGTACCTCCTCTGGAACCAGAGCAGTCCCAGGGTTCCTCCCATGCCCATCTCTGACTTGAACACCTCAGTGATGGGCATTCCAGCGTAGATAAGCTCCTGGCCCCTCTCATCACAGATACTGGTCATAAAGGAGGCTGGCTTACGGATCAGACCCAACTCCTACAGCACAGATGGTTAGAGAGAGGGGGAGAGAGAGAGTCACCGTACCCTCCTATTGCTCTCCATCTGTTTCAGTTTAACACAGTCTGATGCGGTTCGGTGAAGTTTGCCTTATATGGAAGCATTGTCCAGAGCCAATAAGAGATCCTGATTCACCGCTAACTCACAGGGGACATGTGCCAGCGTGGCACTGACTGGTTGGCATTACTCACCCGGGCCCATGAGTAGTCCATTGGCACTGTGGGAGGGGGCACCTCCATAGCTGGAACGATGACTCCTTTGCCCACGAGGTCGTCATACACTGATCTGTACATGAGAAAGTTCAATTTCATAACAGTGCTTTTGTACGTTTACTAAACTGTACATTTTATGTTGCGGCTTGGATGTAATGTTTTTCTAATCATATCATTGTGTGATTTTCTGCACTGACTTGATGACATCTCCCAGCTCGTCAAAGCTCTTAGGTACGAAGGCTCCGGCCTCCTTCAGAGCCAGGTTCTTGGCCACGGCTGTCTCTGAGGCCTGGTTGGCACACGCTCCAGCATGACCAAACTGGACCTACAGGTGACAGACTGGGTCAGCATATCATAGGAAACAGTCACAAACCCTATAACCAGACCCTTTCTTACAGTATGCCTGCCCTGCAAGTCTCTGTGATATCAATCCAATGACCTTTAACCCCCCCCCCCCCCACAACACTCTCCACGCTGCCCATCACACTCACCTCTGAGGAGAACATGGTGGCACAGGTCCCGATGCACCAGCTCACCACAGGCTTGGTGATCCTGCCTGACTTGATGCCCTGGCAGATCTTATACTCCTCTGTGCCGCCAATCTAGAAGGGAGACCAACAGTGCTTTTAAAAGGAAGTCCACACACACTCACATTTGCAGAGGCGAGTATCCAAGCATGGAATTAGTCTGGTCATAAATGTTTATGTTAATTAGCTATGCTT